TATTTTTGTTTACCTGATATGCGGTCATGTTTATTAAATTAAAGTAATTACGATGCATTTAAATCAGTATTATGTTTATTTTCAGTTGTTTGATTACATTTTTAAATTAATCAAATTTGATTGTATCGAATCTAATTTATTTTTAATTAAAACATTGAAATTAAATTAAATACAATTCGATATGTGATCCTTAAGTACTACACGAGTCGCGCCGGAAAGATTTTAGACATAACATCCGTAGATGATCCTCGAAAAGTCAAAGATGCTCAGAAGAAGTTGTAGATAAAAAAATGTAAAACAGGGCCAAGGTGATACAGTTGATATCTTTTGCGTGTCCTTCATTGCAAAATAATATCATGATGTAACAATTATAATTGATTTTTGTTTAATACAAAAAAACATTGATTTAATTTAATACAACATTTTTCTACTAATGGGTCATTAATTCTATTCCGGATATAATTTTGAGTTCCTACCAAATTAAAGAGAAAATCAAATTTTTTTCACGAAACAATGTTATAACCTAAATATACGTCATTAATTATTAGTTCTAATTGTTATTTTTATTCTAATTGTTATTAATTCTTCTTGTTATTTATTTTATATTAAAAGTATATAAGGACATTGATTTGTGTTAAATAGGCAAAACAATTTGTCATATTCCGATAAATCATTTACTTAATGCTTATATATATATATATATATATATATATATATATATCGTTAATTAAACCATTATAAAAACTTAAACAATCGATTTTAATATGAATCATAATTAGTTAATAAGTGTTTATTAATTACTTCCTTAACTTTTTAACATAAAACATTGTAAAATATAATAGTTACCAGCCACTAAATAAATTTCATTACATACGATCATTTTAAATTAATAGTAATAGCAGATTTTTATTTGCTATGAAATGGCAATGTATGTATGTACCGTAAATAAGTAAAAATGGAACGTTCTGCAAATTCCGATTTTTTCTTCATTTTTTTTATATAAATATAATTAAATAAACCATACATACTTAAAAAAAATTTTAAATAAATATATCTATATTCAAATAAATAATATATCTATATATATTAACATTTCGAAAACTCTAAACATAATTTCAATATAAAAAATTGATGAGGTGTTTAATATAATGTTTATATTAGTCGTATCGAAAATACTGTATATTATAAATCTTATTCTTAATTACATTATTATATCACTTACCTATATATTTATATCGATTAAAAGCAATGACAATGTAATAATGAAATAAATCACATCGTTATTAAAGAGCATCATTAATTAAACTATAACAAAATATTTTTGTACAATTTAATCTATAATAAATATAATATTTCGTTAGATTTATACTTTATTATTTATATAATTATATTATTAAATAATATACTATTGTTTGTAAACAATTAGAATTTATATTAACAATAAAAAGATGAATTTTTCTTATACTTGATACGGTGGAAACTGCATTACCTGCTTATAAAAATAAAAAGTAGTACTTATTTCTTCTTCATTACTTAATTTTTTTTGTTTTCATATAGACAGACGCTTAAAAATCTTGAGATATTATTGGAATAATAAAAATGTAGAAGAATTTGAATAAAATACTAATGTAGGATCGATCAATTAGTAAACTATATTCCTGTTATCATGTAAATAATAATTATTCCTTTCATTATTACAAAAAAAATTTTGTATAAAAAATTGATTTACATTCACAGAATATTTAAAAATTTTGAAAAAATTACGCGTGTGATAAATTAAGGAACAAGTAAACGAAAACAAAACAAAATAGACAGACATTTGCCCAACGGTCGATTAAGTCGACGCTCGAATATTTACACTTTACTGAAATTGCCTAATGTTTAAGTATGAAACTGATTTCATTTTTAGAAAAGATTTTTAATTATTCACAACATATTTTCTTATTATAAATATTTATTTTTACTTAATGTTTAAAAAATGAACAAATATATATTCTATTAAAATATTTAATGGTTAACGGTACTATAACAAATTTTTTTATGAATTCTCTCTATTCCCTTAATATACAATTAAATTGACAGTAAAAGTATGATAACAAATAATTAATATTCTTAAAAGTCTACTATGGTTTAAAGCTCTGATAATTTATAAAATAAGCCATTTTTGTATTGTCGTTTAGAAGAGAATATTAGCGCATTAACAAATATATTTTATATGAGATAAGAATAATCTTGATGATTAGAAATTGCGTTTCACTTATTTTAAATGTTTTTATAACAATTGTAAAAAACGTTTATACAAGTAAAAAATAAACCAACAATAATATTACGAGAACGCTTTTATTTGTGATTCAACATTTATAAAGAGAATATTTTTATTCTCAATTTCTTTTTACCATATATTATATATATACATAATACGTATGGTAGATACATACAAGTCAAGTAAAAAATTTCTTTTATACTTAATGATAAAAAAGGAATAATTACAGCATCAAGTAACATTATTCAGTTATTATTTCTTTTAGATAATATTCCTATCTTGTGTACTTTGTACGAAGTAATTTTTCTTTGTGCACATTTTCATACTAAGTCCTTATATATATATATGTTAGTTATAATGATAAAAATAAACATAAATGATTTACAAATATTAATGAGTATTTCATATTGTAGAATAAATTATATTTTATTGTATTATTTTAAGTATTAGAATTATGATTTCAATCTATAAGAATATATAATTTGAATAATACAATGAATTAAATTGAAAAAATATCATTATGAATATTGCCTACATATATAAATTGAATCTTCCAATATCAGCAGCAATTATAATAATGTTACTTTAAAAAAAAATTAATAAACAAAATAATCTCATTGGGTAAATAGATTAATTCAAAATATTACATCAAATACCCATATAATTATGATATTCTCATTAAACTTTATTAATGCTTAAAGATTGGCGCGCTTAACCACTCCCAAGTTTTTAACCAATACGCATGCGTGAACGGCACTAGGATAATCAATTTTGACATTCTTTATCATTAAATTAATAATATTTATTAGCCACTCTTAATATTATTTCCGAATCTTGATTGTGGACCAGAATAAAGTTCTTGCCGCTATTTATTAGCATGATTACATAACATTTTTCACAAGCGTGTATATTAATTAATTGTAAGCTATTAAAATAAAGAATATTTGAAAAAAAAGGTCGCGCCATCATTTATGTCGGTGAAATCGGACATGGCAACCGCGCGTAATGTTCGACCGGAATTATTTTTAGAGTTTAGCATCACGAAAGTGCTTGGGTCATGGGTTTCCCCTACCAGTTTTGATCTGTCCGGATTTTCGCTAAAAATTATGAGAGACGTACATTTCTGCACGGCCTATATACGAATATTATGACTATCTTGTAATGTTGCTAATGTTCTCTCTCTCTCTCTCTCTCTCTTTCTTTCTCTTTCTCTGATACATACAGTCGCGCGCACGCACGCTCGCTCACTTTTTCTCTCCCGCGCAGTTGAAGAGAACGATCCAGAGGGCGACTATACAACTTTCCTTCCATCTTTCTCTGACGCACATAAGTTTCTTCTTCTCCAACGATTCTCCATCTTTCTTCCTCCAACACCGCCACTCTGATCAACCGACAAACTTTCTCTCTCTCTCTCTATCTCTCTATCACTTATTCTCGACAAAACAGTGGGCAAAATGAAAGAGTAACATCACAAGAATTAAGTGATCTCCAAAAAATTTGGATAATCGAGCACAACGGATCAAGGGGCTGAAGGGATTTTGCAGCAAAGATAAAGAAGAGAAAGCACGCACGAGAAAGGGGCGACGACCGAGGCAAGAAAAGGACAGTGAGTCGAGCATGGTATATATAGACTAATAGAGAAGAGAGGCGCCGGAGCGTCGGCCAATAGATACATACGCGCCTGTGTACGTATACGCACACGCGCGCGCATAACCTCTCATCTGACGCTCGTGCGCGCGCAAGTACGCTGTGTGTACAATAAACGACGGACGTCGCAGAGATAGAAGTACAGAAAGACGAAGTAAAAGCAGGGTCCGGTCAATGCGTATGAGAGAGCAAGCAACGTGAGTTGAGCGACGACGTAGCAAAGAGGGGAGCCGATCTGGCATCAGGGCGTCGAGACGCCGTTTCTTGCCGTAAGTGAAGGCACGTACCAAAGGATACATAGGCTCGGTTCGTCTATCTCGCTCTGTCGAGCGCCATCCGTCTCACAGAGGAAGATAGAGGAGAAGTAAAAGGAACGTGGACGGCTACGGTTATACGTTTGGCGTGTGCGATCAAGGATAACTCGGCTGCTATGTGATTAGCCTGAATTTAGGTGGCAATGGACTGGGAGGTGGCGGGACACACACGACCAGGAGTATTATCGTCGCCAAGCTATAGCTGACAAGCGTCTTCGCGCGGTTGCGAGCAACCTACGAAGGGGACGCTCTCGAAAGAGGCTCTCAATCCTAGACACGGTTGGACTCGGATGTGCCCTCACTTCGGACAACTTTTAACGTGCGAGTAAAGTGCTTAGCTAACTGCCCTTTAAACTTGGCATTTTGCGTTTTGGATTTATTCCTACATTTCTGACTGTTTCAATTGTGCTTTATGCTAAGATAGAGCAGAGCACTGCTGTGGCGTACGTGTAAGGCATTCTTATAATTTTTATTTTGCAAGCAATTCATGGAATGGACAAGATCAGCTTATTGGATAGGATCATATATTTGTCGTAGGTACAATGTGAGGAGCTTTGAATTTTGCCCATAACGATGGAACTTTTGATTGATGGCTGTAAAAGCTTGAAAAGAATAAATTGTAAGCTACACTATTGCATATAACATAGGGTAGTATTATAATTTTACAAAGAAGTATTCTTTGGATGATAAGTATGTAACTTACATAGAATATGTGATGGGAATATAAACGAAAATGTACAAATAAAGGTCTATAAAAGTGACTAAATTAAGTTTTATACAGACATTTCTTTCAAAAAGACAGAGTAAGAAATTATTAATTTTAAATTTGATCCCAGTAATTTGTAACGTATTCGTTTCTTGGACCTGAATGATCACACCACCCGTGGAATAAAGAGGATGATATTGTGAAAGCGTGTGTGTATGAGCTTATTCGGGTATATGTGTGTATTTAAGTGTAACATTGCAGTATAAAGCAGCAAGAAAAAAATCAGCTTGAGAATACGGTTGAGCAGCCAAAAATGAATAAAGTGCCTAGTACAAAGTATTAACTATCGAATAGAATAAACGAGAAAAGGCATTCCGAGCATCGGAAAAAGATCTGAGAGATTGTAAACACTCGGTAATTTCAATCGAAACCGCGGTAAGAGAGAAAAAAGCGCGCCATACGTTAAGATTGATCCCGCAAAACTTCGGAGTCCCAGTTGTGTGCGTGCGTGCGTGAGTGCGCGCGCGCGTGTGTACGTGCATGTCAGGCTGCGGCGAGAGAGAGACGACGCGGAAGGAGGGAGACAGTTGGGAAGTACAAAAAGACGAGATCGTGGCGAGCAGGGCCAAGCTGGAGGGACCGAGAAAAGGAGGTAAATATGGATGCGAAGGACCATAGGGAGTCGGGGTGAAAAGTCCGATGGGGAACGCCGCCATGTTAGGATCGTGAACTCTCGCACACACGTGCTCGAGGCGATTTTTTTATACTTGTTTCGGTGCGAGATTCCTTAACGAGTTGTTAATCTACTTGTAGATTCAAATTTTATTCATGCAGCTGTATTAAAAACGCAAATTGTCAATCGCACGTGGATAAAAAAAATTTTTTGAGATTTTTTCTAAATAATTATATTTTGGTTTTAGAATACCGAGAGGTAAAAATTATATTCACGATTATGGAAGAAAAAAGAAAAAAAGAATAAATCCAAACGAATAAACCCGTAGTTTTATTTTTGTAGATATTTCAGAGGAAGTAGCTTAGAATGTAGTATAATACAATTTAGAAAAGAAATTAAGAAAAATTTTTAATAAATATTATAAATACTTCAAATATAAATTGAACAAATTTGATAGAGCTGTTAATTAAATTTTTTGTCCAACATGCATTAACATTTAATATATCCTGTTTGATATAATTAATTCTTTTACTAATTTTGTTTCGATGAGTATATCTTCCCAGTAAATGTAATTATTTATTATTAGATTGAATTAAAACTAATAAATTTAATTGTCACATTGGGTGAAATTTATACTGTTAAAATAGTGCTAACCGCATTACTCATTATGTACATAAAATTAGATATATATTAAACATTTTTCATTATACAATCTCCTTAATCCATTTCATAGTAATATGTGAACATTAATTAATATAAAAAATTAATTTTTTCAATACAGCATGTAAATATGTTATAGCAATATTGTACTTTTTGTGACATATCAATAATTATAATTATAAACGTTCACTTATTATTCAACAAATAAAAGCTCACTGTATAAATGAAACTCACTGTATTCTTCATATAAAAAATTTGATTTGATTACACTTGCTATAAATGTGAGCATCATACGTCATAAATATTTACTCAAATGAAAGATCTAATACTCTTAAAGCCTATGAAATATTCCATATCATATATCATGTCAGATATATTCCATATATCTTTCGTATATTAATATTATCGAAATGTATTCGTTACTTTGTGAAAGAAGAATCATCACATTCATCGTGTAATAAAAGGACATGCCTGCAACAGTTTGACATCATTATGTTTACATTGTGTATACACCTTCCACAATGTACACGCACCCTTTAATGCATGCACACGATTAACTCTGTGTTACTTTCCACGGCCGCAACATGGCGGATCGGCTCACCTTCACCGCGGGCTAAGATTCGTCCCCACCTTCCCTCTACGGCCCTTCCTCGTCCTTTTGCTGCCACCGCCTCCTGTTCACCCCTCCCTCACCCGCTTATCGGGCATTCCGATAGACTGGCTTCGCGCTCTGTTCTTGCAGTGTTTTATTTATTTTTTTCAAACGCTTGAATTTTATTAGCTTAGTAAATTTGCATTTATAGTAATATTGCGTATTAGAATGTTAAGTCTGAGAGAGAGAGAGAGAGAGAGAGTTTTCAGAAAAGTTTTCAGATTCAAAATAGAACTATCTATGGATTCTAATGATCAATAAGCAAAAATAACATTAAATAAATTTAATGCCATATTTATCGAAAATCATAATCTTACATTAAGCAGTGTATTATTGTATTATTGGTTATCCTTAGTGAAACTATCAGCCTTTCATTGCAATATAACCATCATTAACTAACGATTTATTGTAAATCGCCATTATTTGCAATATAAATTTACTCTATTCCTTAATGTAAATTCTAAAACTAAATTCAAAGCTATTAATGTTCCCTTGATGATTACATCATTATTTAATTAATTACTTCCGCTCATATATTAATACTAAATTATATAAAAGTTAATGTTATTTATTAGCTAATGATAATTCTCTTCGTATAATTTTAAAAATCCAAAGTGTATCCATGCTCAAAATACGAAATGATTTAAGAATATGTAGAAATCATTCAAGCGAAAAAAATTGCTTTTATTCCCTATGAAAATTGAATTTTGTGCTAATCTTTATGAAAACAAAAATTGTCCTTATGCTGTAAATTTATTAATACGAAATCTTGCTTTTAATGAAATTTATATCCTTAATAATTTTTAAACGTAAACAAAATAAAATTTGTATAAACTTAAAACAATTCTAATGATTTATTATTCTATGTTTCTAAACCTTATTTCAAAGAGCTTTATATATTTTCATTTGCATATTAGATATGTACTTATTTACTCATTATATTATTATTAGCCTAATACAAATAACAATAATCATAATATAATATTCTTAGGAAATTATCTTAAAACAATTAATCAAAATTTATTAATATTTAAAAAATTGTTTTTTATTAATAAAAAATATGATTTTACATTGTTGTATTGAAATATTATTGATTTTGGAAAGAAAAACAAAAATTTTACAACAATTTAATTGAAGTAAAAATTATATTTTATTACTTTATTTTTATAATTATATCTATCAAAAATTTAAATAATCAATTCTCAAATAGTAATATATCGTTTGAACTTATAGTGATATCTTAGTAAAAAAAAAATTAAAACATACTTATTAAATAATTGGTATATTTCGGATAAACTTCGTTATAATTTAATAATAGAAAGAAAAAATTTAATACAAATAATCAATTTTCAAAGAAGTCGTGAAAACCTATTCAAAAGTATAGTCAAGTTAATACGCAATAAAGGCTATTTAATACATAAATTCAATATAATTAATTATGTATAATTGCACAAAGTTTCTATACATTCATGTTTTTTTTGCCTTTGTTTTACAATTTAAAATATATTCAAACAAATATAAATTAAAAATATTAAATACCTCGTATTTATATTACGAAATACCGTTGTTTTTTTAAGAAGGTAATTAATTAAAGTAATAAAAAGAAAATTTTTTTGTTTTATTTTAATATGGCCGAACTTTGTAAAAGAATTGTTTAATATAAAATATAATAGAAACATATGTACTCTAATAATTAAAAAAATTTATATAATATAACCTCCAGCGATCACAGCTCTCAGCTTAAAAGCAAAATTATATCACATAACCTCAAAATCGTCTTTAATTTTAGAATAATTCACCAATAATTAATATATTAGCATATGTATAAACAAACATAAATTACTTTAAGCCAAATATTATCGTAATATTTAATATATAGTATAATATCTGTGATTTATTTTCAAACGTTTTATTTCAATTTTTTAATATTATGATGAAATGTTTTGTAAATAGACTGAAATATAAATATTGTATTTTTTTTTTTTTTTAATAACGAAATGTAAAGTTAATGTTGTTTCTTGTTATTAGTGGTGTCTTTTTTATATGCATTAATGATGTAAATAAAAGTAACTTATAAAAATTATATTTTTTTATAGCAAAATATTTATATTATAGAAAATTATAATAAATATCAGTTTAGAAAATGTTTACGTGTAATGTTGAGTTCATTGAACAGTGAGTTTTATTTCTAAATAAGGTTTTTTTAGGTTATATTAAAAAAAATTTCATTTACAATGCAATGATTAACAGTAAAGGCAATGAATTGCATTTTAATACATTGTTTAATGGGTAGCTTAAATAATTTAAAAGCAAGATTTGCAAAAAATTTTATAAATTTCAGAAATTTAATAAAAATATAATTAACATCAATTGATTAATTAATTATCTATTTATTTTGTTTGTTTTGCACGTCTGTAATTATTCAGCAAATATAATGTCTAATAAGTCAGAATATTTTAGAACTCGTAATATATTTTAAACAAAATATTACAAAATATTTAAACAAAAGAATAAAATAAAATAACGCTTTTATTAAAGTTTTAGGTATAACATTGAAATTCTTGCCTTGTTGTAGGTATCCTATATAAATAAAAAAAACAGCAGATATTTTAGGCATTTTAGTTGATAATTTTCGGACCCTTGGCGATGCAATGGCATTAAGTATGAGTGTAGAGAATCGGCGTAAGACCGTGGGGAGTTAGAATTCTAGAAATTAGTACGGAGTACGAACGTGGGCTGTAGAAGGGCGGGAGGTGGAAGAGAGAGTGAAGAGAGGAAAGGAGACGAAAGATGGCTTGGCTTTTTCGCTAGCGTGAGTCATGAGAAAGTGCCGCCGAAAATCTTTAGGAGCGTCTTTCGAATGTTGTCTTATTCTTATCAATATAATTTTTCAGCGCCGTCCATAAATTTTCGTCATTAAGTAGAGATTGAACATTTGTTATCAATTGTAAAGTGAATTATATTCGTGTATTTTATGGTTTCTTGTTTTTACACGTTCAAAAAATTAAATTTCTGTTTTACGTGCATTCAGACATACGTATAATATTTATTTATCTTTTGCTTCATTATGTTTTTGATTGCGATTTGCTTTTTTCATTTTTGACAAAATATAATCAATGTTGTCTGCTTTTGAATTTTTATTGGTTATCTAATGACTTATTTTTAACATCAAAACCCTGATTATAACTTCAAAGAGTTATTTTTAAAAAATTATTTTCAAGTAATGCCCATGTTATTGGAGAAATACGTGGTTGGCACGATTCTATCTATGATCATTGAAATTTCATAATTTTTTATTCATAATATATATTGAGTTTAATAATTAAATAGTTCTAATGAGTATTTGTCGAATATGACAGCGTATATGCTGACAAGTTGCATTGATAAATTATAAAAATATTAATTTTAAGCCATTGTAGACAAGTATTTTCACGAATTGTTAAATAATTGTAATAAAAAATTTTTTCAATGTATTATTTATTCTTATTAACGAAAATTTTGTATTTTATAGAATATCTGAAAATTACACGGTAAAGCTAAATAATAAATTGGTCAATAAAGAAAAAGAAAAATTTGATACACTAAATAGAATTATTAATAAAATTGATTAATATACAGATAAAAATAGATATAATTTTATTCTGTCACGACTAAATATTAAAGCTTCACAAGGCCAATGAATAGACGTTTAGTTTGTAAAAACTATAAAGCTACCAATCAAGTAAAGATGTTGAGTGAAAGTGACCGATCATATTGCTCTTTTTCTTATGCTTGTACACCTTTAATTATGCATATAGGATATAAATAACGCGTATTGTGCGTTACATGTACTTAAAACTCATTTATTAGCAATTGCTTGTGCATATTCAACCGAATGCACACGGATGAAGATATGTATTAATGTGTATATGCGATGGGGAGGGAATAGGTGCGCGCGCGTTCTTGCATGCATTTATATTTGAATGCGCGCGCATATGCATGTATTCATACCTATATATACAAAACATCAACAGTATCTAAGTTTTGTGCACTGTTTTCGGTTAATTGTATTTTGTTCAAGTATACATGAAAGTTAGACTTTATCCACGTGATTTTTCATACTACAGCCTACTGTTCGTTGTCTTTTACGCACATGCATCTATGCAATGACAAAAGAAGAAAAAGGTTAAGTTTTTTTAACAATATTTGGGAAATAATAGAAAAATCATTTTACAATATTAATATTTAAATATTCATTTTACATTTAATTATTATTTCACTTTTGTACTATTGCATCTATGGTTATTCTTATATTTTGTTTTACATTAAATATGTAACGAATAAGTATATTATAAAGTTCCCACGTTTGTTCTTTGGTTTCTTAGTGACTATTTACATGTAATCTTAATCCGAAAGTTATAATGATAAAAATATGTTGTTTAAAGTTATTTAATGTGTAAATCTTGTTTCAACAGAACAGGATACAATGAGTGGAACCCAAAACAATGCAATGTCTTTGGCTAATCCATCAGCAATTCATTTGGGTCCAATATTGGCTCCTGGAAGCAATGAAACAATTTCCATAGTCATTCCACTCTCTGCTCAGCTAGCCACTCTATCCAGAAATGCAGCTGTTCAGCAGCAAGTAGTTTGTAAACAAGAACCTGTCGATAACAAGGACAAAAAATCACCACCTAAGCGAGCAAAGACTAATCCGCCTCGAATAAAAGAGGACAAAACCAAAGGTGAATCTTCAATCTATAGAATTAGTATTAGTAATTTCAAAAGGATTTTTACTATTTAGCTATCAACTTATAAAAATATATAAGTATATATGTGATAACTTTATAATTACATTCAATTGCAATCAATACATTACATTTAAATTAATTAAACATATTTCAAATAGAATAAAGGTTTTTCTACAAACTTTAAAGGTAACTGTTTTGATCGTAAAATGATATAATATCGATTGACTGATTAATTGACACAAGAATTTGTATATAATAAAGACATTTAGATATAATAAACTATTTTATTTTGTTTACAATTTTATTATGTACAAATTGTATACAAATTAATTTTAAGAATAACGAACTCGTTAGTATCATTTCTCAATTAAAAAAAAATAGATATAAATATTTTTGCGATCTCATTATTCTTAATCTCTCTATTCATAATTCAAGATTAAATTTGAACTGTAAACATCACATTTTAATACTTTTAAGGGTTTCTTTAAATATAATAATTTAAATTTTAAAATAATTGTGTTGAATATAATTTCTAATGGATACAATGCATTTATTACTTCATTAGAAATTTATAAGATTACTATTATTTTCAGTCTTAAGAATGTGTTGTATGTTTATCGTATTATTTCCACCGAATAAAATAAATATTTCATAAAAATTATAATAAATTATATTCTATATGTTTTATGTTATTAATATGATTTAGTGTGTTTCAATATTAATTTATAATATAGTTTTAATAATAAGTTATTACTACTCTAATTTTCTATATTTGATATAAACAAAACATAGTGTTTATATATATATATGTATGTATATAATATTTATACATTAAATTACTTTAAATTCACGCATTCAATTTAGAGTAGTTTACAGCATATCCTTGTTGTAAACTGTTCGATTAGTAAATAATGCTATTATTTTAGTTAAAATTGACCAAAGTGTTAAGATAGTGATATTCAGATACAAAATGATTAATAATTTTAGCAGTAAAGTTATATTGCAAAATAATCATTTTTTAATACTTTATTTATAAACATATATATTCTATTTATTTTTTCATTTAAATTGCTAACCTTAATTTAAAGTAATTATAATATCATTCTTCGATAATTTTTATTTTTTTATAAAGTATTTCATTTACATTAAATTTGTTTCTCATTATTTAATTATTTGAAATAATTAATTTTATTATATGTGATAAAATAATTGCGAATACTTATGGATAAATAGAAAGTCATTATTTACTAAAACTTATCACAAAGGTGTTTAGAAAAATATTTACATAAGTAGTCAATTTTTTATTTATAAGGTATATAGTATATATAATTATATAATATTTAATGATTATTGCATCACATTTAGAATAAACATTAAATGAACTATAAATGTTAAAATATATACATAAATGAATCATATTAATCATAAGTAATAGAAAGAAGTAAATGTGTATAATAAAAATAATTTTCTTTACATTAGGTTGTCCTTATCCAAATTGTAGCAGATATGGAAGAGCATTTTCAAGGGCCCATGACTTAAAACGTCACATAGCCCGACATGAGTCAAGAGAGAACAAAACAACAGATGCACAACATCAACAGATATATCCTTGTTTGGTGTGTGGTGCCCATTTCTACAACGAACTTATTTTGCAGAGGCACAAATTGATTCATGAAAATGGCGCAAATTCGATAACGTCTACAAGTGGTCCACCATACACCTGCAACTTTTGTAAAAAAAATTTTGAACACGAGGGTCTCCTCAATGCCCATTTGCCTATTCATATTAAGGTAATTATGAAGTTCAAATTGTTTATTCATCTGTTGAACAACCAATCAGTTTTATTTGCCTTTTTATAACATATTAATACTATTTTATTGATATACTACGTTTGAATTATAAGATTAAAGTATTTACTTTATCAAAGAAACTATTTTTAATTCATGTTTCTGTCTGCTATTATATTATTATAAGCTGTAAAATTCTGAAAATAAGTTGTTTTGTTACCAATGAATTTTAGAAGTTTATTTTGTTAATCAGAAGCTATTAATGTACCAACATTGATAGCTTACTGATCTTCAAAAATGTTAAAGATATTCAAAATTAAGCAATAGAAATATTCATTTTATCGAGATTTAATAATGTTTCTTAAATTCCTTAAATTTAATTTAATCTTAGATTAGGACAATCAACCATTTATTTTAATTTTATTGAAACAATAAATTTCTTTTAATATTTTAACTGCATCATATTTATTTATATTGAACAGAATTGGAATATCATAATCATGAAATCATGAATCAAAATCAAATAAACAAAAATTCAAGTACATCTAAATGTTTCTCAATTGTTCAATTTAAAAAAAATTAATTTCATTTATTGTGATTACACTGTTTTCCAAACAGATTTTGATAAACAATATTCTTTTCATAAGTTAGTGTTATCAATTCATTTATGAAATATATTTACTTTTTTATCTATTAAATGAAAGCAACGTTTATGATTATTACTTATAGTTTAAAGAAATTTTTATAGATGTTCATTTATTTAGCACACACTTATGTTATAGAGTAAATGGAATTCTAATTATTTGATAAAGCATTCTATGCGAAGACAATGAAGTATACAAATCATAAAATTTTACATTTGATTTATCTTCATTCGTAAACATTTAAGTAAACATAAATAACTTTGAATGGATATTTTTGATTTTGATGAAAAGTAATAAAATATAGCTCGTAATAAGATAAAATAAGTGAGTTAACGTTATAATCGATAACAGAGGGTGTGTATACATTTTTTAAAAATACAAGAAATTATTAACAAGTAAACGATTTTTGATAAACATTGATGTTAATTGTTAAAAACCCTTGCTCCATTTTGCAATGGTTATATTAACATATTCGCGGATCTCGTGGTCCGATAAAATCATTATCAATTCAAATAAAAACATAAAAACTAAAACGAGCCGTTTTCATATGGTACTTAATGGTTGAGTGGACCCCGGTCGAACGACACAAAACTAAACGAGGGAACGTGAGCCCAGCCAATCTCATCACGCGAAACCCCGAAATCTAGTCCTAGGGGACGTGACTCAACAACCGGGTAGTAAAGACCACAAGTCTAACATTGTTGTCGGCGCTCGCCAGAGTGAGCCCTTCCTTGCGTTTCAGCACACGACGTCGACGATGCCCTCGGCATCGCGCTATCAGCCCCCTAACGGCCCTGGCACGACGGCTGCTTCCTCCATAGCATCGACAGCCTCGACGCCTGTGACCATGATGCCGAGTGCCTCATCGGTACCCTCAACGGATGACGATTACCGCCTCGAGGATATGCTGCTATTGCGTCGTGGAGGTAACGCCGGCCCCGGCGGCCCCCACAAGGTGCCCGCGGCTCATCTCGGCAGCGCCTCGACTTCCTCTTCGTCTTCGTCTTCGTCGCCCTCATCTGGACCCGCAGGCGTCTCCAAAATTCGCTGCGAATATTGCAGCAAGACTTTCAAGACTAAGTGGACACTCAGCTCACACGTGGCCGCACACGAAGGTCGCTTTCAGTACCAATGCTGCATCTGCAGTAAGCGCTTCGTCAGGAAGAGCCATTATGAAAGTCATGTGAGGTCGCACGACGCCGCAAGACCTTATGTTTGCGAGCATTGCGGTCAGTATCGATATCGAGTTGCAAAGGCTTTTAATTTCTATAGTCTTTCGTGCCCTTAAGGCTATTTTCGCTAGCAATGGGGGTTCTACCTTTACATGCCAGATGACATTAGAAATATTGTTTTTAACACTCAATGATACAAAAGCTATGTAAGTAAGATTAATAGTCAGTATGGATTGTAAATAAAGGCTTTCGGAAGACTTATTATAATGTACAGTTGATTGGTATTTTGTATTTAAAAAAAGCTTTCTATTTTAATTATTAAACTATTATTTTAAATTTATTATTTTGTTGTTCTTAACAATACGCTTGTGAAATATAGTACAATTTAATTTTGAAATTGTACACTATAATATATAGTATTTTAAATTGACATAAATAAATTAAAATTTTAATTAATTGATCACGCATGATTTAGTTTTATAATTAATACTTTAATTGATAGATTGTGAAAGATCGTTGTTTTTCTTCATTACCTATTTTACGAAATACGATAAATAAAGTATATTCAATACTTTATTTATATATAGTATTTATATTTATATATATATTTTTATTTTTATTTATATATATTTATATTTATATTTATATATAGTATTATATTTATATATATATTTATATATAGAATATAAGAACATTTTTTCTAGGAAAAATGTTACATTAATATAAATTTATATAAAAACCAAATAATTGTAAATTTGTGAAAGTAAGCTTGTAGAAAGTATCTTAAATTATATCTTTATGAATGAATGAATGAATGAAAAAAACAATGAAAAAAATTAAAAATTATGAAATTTATGAACTCTTTCATTAATCGAACGGTATTTAAAACTACATAATGAATAATAACAAATGGATAACAATGGATGTTTTTTTTCCTTTGTTAATAGGTAAGACATTTAAAGAGAGTAAACATAGAAGAGAGCACTTAAAGCGAAAGCACCCAAGCAACCGAAATGCCATACAATCATTATTGGATAGCATCAGCGCATGCGTCAACGAAGAAGCTGCTGCTGCCGCTGCCGAACAGGCCAAACTCACTATACTCATGCCGATGAATTTCAGCACTTAAAAGCAAAAGGTATTGTAAGTTCTCTGTTAACACAGAAAGCCTTTAATTATTTCAACTTGTAATATTTATGGTCAATTTGTCACATTAATTTTTATTAAAAACCAATATTTCTAAAATTCGATCTTTACAAATAATCATTGATTAATAAATTTCAGATTTTTAGTTTCTGGATTTTTTTATAATGGAAAAAAAGGGAGTTCAACATCCAAAATACCAAAGATCTTAATGAAGCTGCGGAATAAGCGCTTCAATAGACTTAGAGTAATTTGGAAAAATGCCTCGATGTAATGTAAACAATTTGTTAAACTTGAAGCTCCATTTAATAAAGATTTCGACAAATAAAGCGATTGGAAGAGTTGATTAAATGTACTTAATGAAGAGATTACTTTCGTACGGTAAATTAAAGGGATACAACACAACATTACACACAAAAATTATTTTGCGTACCAGAATTTCATTTTCGACAATTGTATGATATGCCGAATCCTTTTAAACAGAATGTAAGAGAATATCAATAAAAAATGTTTACTCTTTTCAAATTAATTATGACTTGTAAATTTATTTTTTGAATCTTATTTTTCAAGATATTGAACCTCACATGCATTACAATTATCGATAAAAAGTATTATTGTTCTTCATAAAAACTTCTTTAAAATAAAACTTTTATGGAAACATTAATTTCTTCACCATCCCAGCATATAATAATAATTTAATATTTCAAATATTTAGTAGTTTCTATAATTCTATGAATTTCACTATTATCTAACCGCTTTCACAATTAGAAAATAATGTATGTTCAATTATAATAGATCTATGTCTATTATATAATAACTGAAATTGTGAAAGAATTTTTTAATTAAAAATGTTGCTATATTTATTTTCTTTCTGTTATTCTTTTTATTCATAAAATTTATTATTTTGAAGTATTTATGTTTAACCTATTTCACTAAAAAAAAGTACTAATTTTTCTACATTTTCTGTTCTTAATCATTTCCTCTTTGCAGCATATATTTTTATAATACTTCAAAGAAATTGTATTATACAAATAAAATGTCTAAAATCAAAATTAAGTTATATATAATTTTGAGAATGATTATAATGTTATAAAATGTAAATAAAACTGAAAGAAAATGTAACAATAATTTAACTAATGCATGCCAGTTAATAAAGATAATTATATTTTTAACTAAATGAACAATAACCTTAATTTTTAATAAAAGACTAGAAAATATTTTTTGTTTAACTTTTTATTATTATAAAGTAACAATAATTTAAATCAATGACAGTATATGAAGTGAATATGAACATGAAATTTCCTGCAAAGAATGCTTTAAAAATATTTCATTCGAGGCATTCCAAATTTAATCAAATGTTTTCATTCATTTCCAAATGAATCATTTAAAATATAACTTCGTTACAATTGATTAATACGATAAATAGTTATAAAAATACAATATTTTTTTTTATTAATGAGATTATATTTCATTACGTTAAATTATGCTTAAAATATTAATGTTTCGCAAATCAGTAAAGTAATGAATAATTATTATACCAAATACATAACTCAATTTTAATTAGTAAGAAAATAATATTTAGTATATAAATAGAAGGTACATAATTACTGAAAATAATTTAACAAAATCACTTTTTCTTCCACAAAGAGCTGGTTAAAGTTAATATTGTTTATTAAAGGTTTATTACGATATTAATTCGGTCATAAATATTCGTTTGATGTTAAAATGTAAAAAAATTTATAAAATAGTTCTACAAAAATTATCTTAATAAAATTAAGATTGAAATGAAGCAAAGTAGAAAAAAGCTTTTACAGAACATATTTAGAGTAAAAGTATCATGATCAAATCTACTTTCATGTATGACAAACAAGTCAATATCTTAAACTCTGAGTCTTCTATAATTACTACATATATGTAGTATTACATAATAAGGAATAAAAAAGTTCAAATAATAAAAAAACCCTTGTAAAGAAGTTGTAATTTCGCAAATGAATCTATGAATAATTAATCTCTGAATTGTTATTGTTTTACCAATTAATCACTTAACTTAACAAATTATTTTATATATTAAAATGATTATAATTGTATTTATTTGTATCTTACTTTTTAATTTAATTATAAATATTTTCTTTTGAAATTTTATTTATAACTTCAATTTTTAATATAACTTTTTCTTTTTATTGTGTTAATATTCTAATAAATTATAAGCTAATAAATTGATTTAAAAATTGCCACGATTAATTTAGAAAAATATAGTTGATTACTGAAATTAATAAATATAAAATAAACATGTATTAAGTAATATATGAAAATGTTAGTAATGTTAGTTGCATAAAAATTAAAATGTTAATATAATTTTTGCAATAAGAATATCTATTAAGTTACGTCAACATATTGCAAAAAACAAAAAGAAAGAAAAAATTTTAGTATCTTTAAATGATTATACGCAAAAAAAGTAAAAAAAAGATAGTACAGTATTAAAAGAGAATGAACCGGCGCTGAAGCCAAATATAAGGAGATACATGATTCGGAAAAACTGATATGTTTTTTGTAAACCTTTATTTATTAGATTGAAAAAAATGTATAGTACATTTTTTTAAATTCTGCAAAAAATAGAATTTTTTAAATAAAATAAATATGAATAAATATACGAGTGTGAAGATGATTTAATTATCTCTATTTCGAGGCTTCTTTCACTTTTTATAAATAAAAATTGAAAATTAAATGAATAAATTAGCCTTGTACATTGTGATTGTCATTAAAAGAGCGATATAAGTCTGGATTACTTTTGTAGCTCTGCTCTTTGATGAAAGCTTAAATGATAATGGCTATGCGACGAGTTAAACAAAGATGGATCCATATTAAGCAGTTTATTAAAAGCAAACTCTTATTGAAATGATGAATCAACATAATTAGTGTTCATACGGGATTGGATGAAAGAGTACGGAAATGCAATTATGAAATTAGTTTAGAATGGAGGCGGACCCTTGGGTATGTAATTAGTTTTGTATATAATGTAATAAGGCTAGGCTAAGCCTCATTTAATAAATCCTCAACATCCTTTACGGCTAAGGCTTAATTGTTTCTAATTTCATTATAATTAAATTTTTAATTATCCTTTATTTAATTGTATAATTTAAATATTAGAATAAATTTTTCACATTTATTCACACAATATTCAAATATCTCATATTTAATACGATCAATTTTTTAAGTATAAACATATACACTTTTAATTATTCTTTTCAATCAAATATACTACTTAAGTAATATTATAAAGTTAATAATGACATGTTTCACACGTTAGAAATACAAATAATCATATTTTATAAATAATGAAAATAAAATTCAAAATGTTCCGTATAATATTCTGCATGTACTCACAGATTTCTGATTTGCTACAAAGTACATAGCCTGTTATATATGCATGTACATCGAGAGTTAGAGAGAGAGAGAGAGAGAGAGAGAGAGAGAGAGAGAGAGAGAGAGAGAGTAAATATTTAATTTACTTTTAAAATATACGTCTAGAATAGTATAAATAATTCAAAAATTCATTTAACATCTGAATTTATCTTTAACACTAAAATATTTTAGAAATACAATAAGTACAATTTTATGTGCAATTAATAACAGTATTGAAGAATATTGATATCGAGGACATGAGCAAAGATTTTAAATTAATATGATAAAATTTTAAATAATTTTGCTCTTATATTCACGCGTTGAACATTTTTTAATTACCTGCCATGAAATACTTTAGCGTTCAATTGAAATTGATTACAAGATGATGATTAATAATAGTTTAAAAGACATCGCCCGCCAAAGCAAGAGCCAATGAATTTAGAGTTCTTATTGGTCATATGAGGATTAGATACTTCACCTTCTCTATATAATATAGATGTCAGACGCTTAATGTTCAACATTTTACTTTATTAATATTAACCTTCTAATTAATCTTTTGCATTAAGATATAAAGCAATAATGTCAGAGTACGACAAAGTTCGAACAAAAAAATTAGTATTGAAAGGAGAAAAACACAAGTAAAGTGGGATTGAAAAACGTATTGTACGCATTCTTATATTTATATAAATTTAATACAAATTTGTTTTGGGCAATTTTTATTTCAGATCGAAAAAAAGGAAACGCAAACTACAAGATCGAAATGAGCAAATTGATAATAAGACAGACGAAGACACTATTCGCCACGGTAATTTAAGAAAAAATATAAATACTCCTATTTTTTTAAATATAACCTTACATGACTTCAATATTTGTTACGATCATATTTGTATAGAAATATTTTGTAGAAATTACATAAAGATTTTTAAAATTTTGTTAAAAAAAATATTTTAATAAATTCAATCATAAAATCTTAATTAAAAATTTAAAAAAGAGTTAAAAATATTGAAAAAACTATATAATAACTAAAACTAATGTCACCTTTCTGGTAACATATTTTTTATTGCTTTTAAATATTTTTAAGTAATTAATGTATGCCTTAATATTTATAAAAATACTGTTTTTTAGGTGGTTGGTGGAAAACATTGTTTATAACAGATATTGTTGGTACAGTTGCTATTGAATTTGGTAATTTGACTTACATGAAAGCACTTGACAATGGTTTATTTACACTTGGATTGCCTCATGATGAAGGTGATGGCCCTCACCCAGAAGAAATCTTGACAGCATTTTCAGTGAACGAGACAAAAATTGCTCTAAAATCTGGTTATGGAAAATATATTGGAGTTGATAAAAAAGGAATGGTTGTAGGTAGAAGCGATGCTGTAGGTGCAATGGAACAATGGGAACCAATATTTCAAGTATAAACATTTTACTTTAATTTCCTTTTGTTATCTTTTAAAATTATTTTAATTTCATAAGTTCAATACTAAGTTCAATACATTCGTATTTAATTATAAATTTATTTTATAGGAAAACCTATTTGCACCCAAAAAATTAATAAAGAAAATTTAGTGTTTATTATTAAATATGTTAGGAATAAAATTTTTTATGAAACAATATCATTTTAAATGTTCAATATCATAATAAGACCCATAAAAAGTTGAATATCTATTATATAATTTATCACCTCCTTGAAAATACTATAACATAACGATAATATATCCATTACAAAATATTAAATAATATACATAATTCTTCTGTGCTTAAATTGCAATTAATATTAGAATCTAAAATATTGATTTGAAAATTTTGAACCAATTAAAATAAAAATATTCTTATAAGTATTAAAATGCTGTACTTTAATCAAATTTTCATTAAAAAACTTGTTAAAATAATTTACACAAATGATAAGTTATAATAAATAATAAAGGTTTTTATAAAATTAAAATATTATTTTACGTAGGATGGAAAATTAGCAATTTTAGGAAATACTGGATGTTTTATATCTGTAAATGAAGATGATGACATTATTTGTAAAAAACCAACAGCTGGACCAAATGAATATGTATGGATAAGAAGTATGATTCAACAAATTGATGATCCTAATAAAGATATACCAACAGAAGAACAGGGATCCTTAGAAGAGGTTGAAGTTAATTATGTGTAAGTAGAAATCAACTATGAATTTTGTAAACAAAGCTTCAATTTGTTATTTTTCTACATTCATTTTGCATCATGTATACTTGACATACAAATCATAAATACTTTTTTAAAAAGTTAAAAATACGTAAAGAATAATTAAAAAATTTTAGACGGAAGTTCCAGAAATTTCAGGATAAGAAATTGAAAATAAGCAAGGATAAAATTTCAGAATTGAAAAAAGCAAAGGAGGGTGGAAGTTTCCATGAGGTTTTACTCGATAGACGTAGTAAGATGAAAGCTGATCGATATTGTAAATAACTTAATTTTGAGGAAAATGCACATGTAAATATATTTAAACAAAAGAAAAGACTATTCATCGATTTTGTAAAGTTACTTTTTTTATTCCATTATATCGAATGACAGTACCGCTGCATGCAACAGTTGACTTATGCAAAGATTTATTGCCTCTAGTTCTTGTGCTTTGGAGAGGTCATTTTTACTTTTTTTTTTTAAATATTTTTTCTCTTTATAAGAAGGATCCGAGCCCGTAGTTCCGAAATCTTCGTTGATGTTTCTCTTCGGTATACATACATACATATAAAAAAATCAACGTCAAATGAAAATCTCGGAAGTCAATCTTAATTTAATAATTATTACATATACATTGCAAGTAAATCGATTATTTTTAAGTGTACATGCGCTGAGAAAAAACATATAATTCTGTTATAATTAAGAGCTTTGAAGCATTCTATACATTTCGATTCATTTACTTTTATTAATAAGTGAGTTAAAATATTAATTTTGTTAAAAGAACTTTTTTGATAACATTAATTGCATTTCTGCATTGATTTTATATATTAAAAAAAAAAGATAAAATATATAAAATCTTGTTTTCGAATATACCATTAAATGTGGTAACTATTTACAGAATTAAATAACAATTATCTCTTAAACAAAGCATTAAAATGTTGTTTTTTTTTTTTAATTACTGGAACACTCCAAAGCTCTAATTTAATCGTCTTGATTTTATGTTGTCCAGCTTTATCACTTTATAACAGAAATCATATAATGTAGAAAAAACGTTTTCCTTTAAATAAAATTATCTTATTTAAATAAAAGTATTGGTTGAAATAATTTATTTCAAATACAGTAAACTGATTCCTTCACAATTTATTTTACACAGAAATAAAATAATTATCGGTAATGAAAATTATTATTAATAATTAACAAAATCACTTAATAGAAGTCAGCAAAAAATTTTATTTTAATTTAAATATTTTACAACATATTTTTAATCAAATGTATATAAGTAAATTAATTAAACTTATCCAACTTTTTTTTTAATAAAAATTTGGAAAAACTTATACGATTTGAATTTTAATAAAAATTTAGAGAAATGTACATAATAAAATTCATAATTTGTGCTTTGACAGCTGAACATCATAACATCGAAGAATTCTTTATCGTGTTCGTCAATAAGTCCTCGCATCTTAAATTCCAAGAATCGATATTTTATTTGTTAATCCTATCGAGTTAATTTTTTTGATTCTTAAACATTTTCGATTCCATGGAATCTTATGCCACAAATTGTATAAAATAATTATCTTAAAAAGTAATAGGTGCTTCAAATGTGAGAATGAAGAAGTCTTTTAAAAAGGACTTTGTTACATAACTCACAGACATATTGAACGATCCGCTGACCATTCGTCAGTTTTGCTCACACGAATGTTACATCATCCACGTAACTTCCGAATCTTGATGACTTTTTCTTTTATACATTATTAAAAAAGAAAATTAAGATTCATGAAGATATCAAAGATTACAGAAGTAAGCTATTTACTTACAAGAATGATTATTCCTACGCGAATTGCAAAAAAATATATTTAAGACAGAATTATTTATAATCTATATTTTCTTATCTATGCACTAGTGATAAGTTTTACTTGGAAAATAATTTTTAAATGTACACAAATTTTTTTTTTAAACTTTTCCATTTTTCAATATTTTTCCTTTATAAAAGCAATTAATTTTTTAAGATTTAAATAAATTAATTAGCGCTTTGAAAATTAGTAATTTATGCATATTTCGCAATAAAAATGGGAGAAAAATATATTTCCCAAAATACAAATAAATTTTCGGTCCTCGATCATGATTCATTATCACGAAGCGCAATTCTAGATACAGTCGTTCACGATATAATTTTTTTTTTAAGAGCTAACTAACTGTAAGACTAAATCAATCTACTTATTTGTTAAATCATGACATTTTTATCATAACAAAATAGCTGAACTAATAGAAAATAATCCGCAAGTTTTAAAAGTATAATATTTTTTTTTTGTCAATATGTTTGAGTTGAAAAATTTAGCTTTTTAACAAGTAATCGATATCGAAAGAGATAATAGAAAGCCAGGACTGTTTCTTCGAGTAGGTGGGTGCTTTTTATAAGATGAATGAATTAACTCCGACTGATTGTTTCAGCTGATTCTTGTATCCATCTGAGACGCTCCCTCCCCATGCTGCTGAACTTTCAGCCATTCAACAAACTCATCAAGCATTACTGGCCCTAAAATATAATAATTATTTGTAATGTGGAGATAATAATAATTGTCATATTATTAAGTTTGTAGTGCAAGAGAAAAAACAAATTCTAATTGTCCAGTTACGTTAATTGTATATAATATTTACAATATTTGAATTATTTTCTAATGCCACTCAATTATTTAACTTGGATTTTATTTACATTACAGTTTTCCTTACATTTGATTTGATTAAATAATAAATACTGAAATATTTAATTGCTTTAAGTTCATTCATCATTTTTATTATTATAAAATTGCTTATTTTATTATGCAATCGAAATAATTTTGCTACAATATGTTACTTGCATTTTAATTTCTATTTAATGAAACCGTTTCAAAGTTGAAAAATTCTATTTAAAATTGTACTAACTTATAGAAAGTATAATAAAATAATTGTATAATTTAATTATTTTTTTAATTTTACAATTCTAAACATTTTATATTTCTTGAAAATTAATATTAATTACAATAACATGTCTTTGCAACTTTTATATTTTACAATGCAATACTCTTTACGATACAAATTTTATGACTAAAAATTATGATAAAAAGATAATATAGGATCATTTAATTGATACAAATTTAAATTAATATAAAGTTTTTAACATGTGAAAAATTTAAAGGTATAAATTATTAAATTGGCATTTAATGATTTACAAAAAAAGGTAACGAATGGCTTTTGAAAGAAGAAGATTACATATAAATATAAAATTAAAATTTTTCAATTATCACTTAATTATTTAAATAAATTGTTTTCATCCTACTTACATGCCCCATCCAAGTCGTAATTTGAAAGATCGTCATTAATCGTTCGTGAAAACTCAAGAATGTTACACCACTGATCTTTATTGATAACTTTGTACTTTGATTGATCCAAAAATTTGGCAAATTGCGAAAACAGTGGCCAATGTTTTCCTAATAGTAATTGCAGCATAACTCGCGCTGTCTCCATATCCATACTACGTTGATCCTTATCCTGCTTTAAAATATAATATTTTTAATTAATATTCATATGAATTTTTAAGACAGTGAATTAAAAAAAATAATTGTATAAAATAATAATTTAAATGTTGTTAGAGACAATCATTTGTTTCAGACGTAAAATAAAATACAATACAAATCATAATCTTGAAAATAATGTCTTTAATTTACTTGCTTAGCAGAATGATAAATAATCGTAGGCAACATATACAAAATTCACTTACCCTAGCAAAATCGTAAGCGTATCTGTAAATTCCTTTGAAGATGTGCTGGTCGTTGAGTAAATTTCTGAGGTGGTCCATTTTTTGCTGAACTTTGGCGATAGAGTCGCACTGGAGATCCGAGAGACCCTTGAGCCACTCTGTCATTGTGAAGAAGCCCATCTGCCGCGCGTTCATCTTATAGGCAAGGACGAGCATAACCACGTTCTCGGGTTCGACGCCAATATCTTCGCAGAACTTTTCCATACCCTCGGGTCCGAGCATATCTGGTTCATCGGCCGTCGTGTACTCGCGGAACCAACTGATGCAGCGCTTCTGTGAGAAAATCTGGCCGTTTGCACCATCCTCCGCTTTCGTATGTCGCCTCACACTGCCAAGAAATGTCAGTAATTAATAAATAAATAATCTTAACCTTGCGTTTTATTAGCTGCTTTAAATGTAGTGCAATCCATTTCTTATGATGTTGATGAAGGGCCGGAGTATGTACTTACTTTATCAATACATATGAGTGCTCGCACTTTTAATGCAATTGTGATGGCTTCGGTGAAACTTTGAAGGTACACAGCATACGTACATAAACGAGTAATAAAAACGTTTATTAATGACGTTAAAACAGATATGAACAATCTCAAGAGAAAAAATATATGAATTATTTTAAAAGCATACAAAGTTTGATAATTTTAAACGATTATTTAATACCAAGTTTATATCTCCTTTGAAAATGGCCTTGTAAATTTCAAAATATTAGTTTCGAATATATTGAGCAAAAAATACATTTTTGTTGTTTTCTCTTTTAAAAATTTACTGTATCGTAAGTAATTAATCTGATTTTTTAATTAAAATTGTTTCATTGACAGTTTATTTTATAAACTTAAGATTCTATAGATTTAATTTACTCTTTATTTACTCTTTCATTTAATATTAATAGATAAATAAAAAAGCTCCGTTCATTTAACTGAATATTTTTTAGAATATTAGGAATATAAGAATAAATTTCAAAATATTCCTTTTAATAACTTTGATTAACACTATCAGCAATGTAATTTTATAACAATTTAATAAGTGATTCATGCTACACTGATATTGTAAACATTTATTATTTTTAAATTATAAATCTATTACAAAAAATATATAAATGGTACATGGAAAAAAAATTAATAAAATATAATTCATTTTTTATTAAATATTGTAATTTTTAATAAATAAATTGATTCATTTTTTAATAACAAATTTTATGTTATAAAATCAAAGCAGAAATTGTATTAGAACGTGAAAAGTTAAATTTAATTTGTATTTGATGTATATAGAAAGTTACTTCATATTTTAAAATAATATGTGTATTATATGTCAAATAACATTATAATTATAGCAATATATATAAATATTATTAATTACGCCGGTTATTTTATGGATTTGTTTTATGACTAAATTACATATTAAGTAAACACGGGTAAAGTTCCATGTAATTATTAAATAATAAAAATCTTGGAATTATTTTGTCATCTACAAGATATAGATTAGAGTAATTAGGTAATTTTAAAAGGTAATGTTAAATAGTCGCCAAATACTTTTAAGTCTTTAAACAGATAAATTCTTTTATATTGGCAAATATTTACAGAACAATTTGCTTTCGTTCTATTATAAAGACATTGCATTCTAAACTCTAATGAGTTTAGGAAAAAAAGCTTAAAAACTACACAATTAATTTCCAAATACTTAGCCAAAGTGTATATATATATGAAATAAATTAATATATGTGATAAATTTGTAATTTCATTAATTTTATTAAATTGGCTTAAAAACATGAAACAAAATTAAATAAACTTTCGTAAAAATGATCTAGAAAATCAAAAGTAAATCATTTTAATAATTGTAAATTATGCAACGTACTTATTTATATATTAATACTTAGAAAAATATTATTTAAAATCCATTGTAAATTTTTACAACTTATATCTTGTTTTTAATAAAACAATATTTTTAAAAACGACTATTATCATTATAAATAATTTAAAAAGTATTTTGTTTGAGTTTTTTTATGTTTTAAATATTTTATAAAAAATAAATTATTTAAACCAAGCGTTTTATAAAAATAATTTAACATGCATTAACTAGTATCTTAAATATTTTTTAATGCACAGTCACATTTGTTTATTTTGAGCATAAAATTTATCTATTTATAAAAATAGGAGAGTAAAATGTATTTAACAATGATTAACATAATTTTTAAAAATTACTTAATCATAACAAAATATTTTTCAATAACATTAAAGATTTATTCATTATACAATTATTAAGCTCGATGCTCTATTTTGGTATTTTATAAGGAAATATATCGAGAATTTACCTTTATAACCACATAAAAAACTGAACTTTTTTTTAGTTAATTTTACGTACATTATAACACATTTATAAATTATATTTATATAATCTGAATTACTTTTGTATCGTGTTAATAAGCAGTTGTATAAACCACTGAATTATTTTATCTCTATATTTTTAACTTAAATACGTTTCATATTTAAATTTTAATTGTAATAACAGTATAAAAGAGAAAATTCGATATAAACACAGTATTATCTTGTTCAATTGAAAAGTAAAAAATCCGAACGACCCTTGCGATTGAAAATGAATGGTGACAGGTTTATTTTTTTCTTCATCGATATATTTTAAATATCCCTCAAAAAACAAGGCTCCTACTACGTGAATACGAACCTCTCGCCTTCCATACACAACAGAATAGTCTGCAATATTCCAACAAACAATGATTGGTCGTATTCCGAGCGTGAATATAAAACGCGTCTTCGCGCCCCTAAAATAGATTGAATTTTGCAACGTAAATAAAAAAAAAGAAAAAAAAAGAAAAATACAGAATGAAAAATGAGAAAATTTGTTGCAAAAATTTTTTATAGACACACGCACAGAGGTGTAAACATGAAACACAATGCAGCGAGGACGAAGACGACGATGATCTTCGGTAAGAGTCCAAAAATAATCATATTGCCTCCCTCTACTTGAGACATTCATTCAAGCTTGGCTAAGAGACGAATGTCTATCTGTATGTACTACATAAATGAAAATATGTGGCGCAAAAAATATCTTATTTACTAGAATTATTTTTCGTTCAATTCGGATTTACTTGATATCAAAGATAAAGAGATAGGGAGGGAAGAGAGATAGATGTGTGCGTGTCCGTGTAAGTATGCCAATACATATATGGGCATGGATACTTTAGTGAGAGTGAATTCGAAAGAGAGAGAGAGAGAGAGAGAGAGAGAGAAGGAGAGAGAGAGAGAGAGAGAATCAAGTAAATTGAAAATTTTAGCGTCCAAGAATAAAGTCGGTAAGATTAATAGAACTAATATTAAAAGTGACTTAATTATTAATTTAATCTCTAGTGTAATAGAGTGCTACTGCAACAGACAAATTTGAAAGGGTAGTATTATAAAAAGCTAAAAAAATATGCAATTTTTACTATTCATTGTAATAAATGTGCTAATGTTCAATATAGCCGAGTCACTTCATAATAAAATTTCAAATCCCTATCTAATATTTATTAGTGTATATATATATATATATATATTATATTCATGAATTCGTAATTCAGAAATAGTTTCATAATATAAAGATTCATTCACGTGGTGGATAATTAATATTAATTTCATACCGTTTTATTCTCGATGAACAATATCATAAAAATTGATAGTTTTAATTAAGAAAATGATTGTTCAAAAAATATATTAAGTTTTTAATTTTATAAACAAAGTGAATAGATAAATGTTATTAAATATAATATTATAAATAAGAGTTTTACTGAAATCATATAATTTGTTAGTTATGATTGATTGTAACAGTAAAGTATAAATTCTTAATAAATAATTACAAGTCATTAATAAAAAATCGATGATAATAATAATAATAATAATTAACATATTATAATAAAAAAAAGTTATATACGTGTGGTTAAATGCCAATAAAAAGGAGAGTGACAAATTTATGTTTTATTATTTGTGTTAATATGCACATGAGCAAAGTAAGTAAAAATACAGAAGGAATAAATAAATGACAGAATCAGCAAAAGAGAGAAGGAATAAAAAATTAATGAATGAAAATGGAGAAGAAAATGGTTCGAGGGGAGTTGCAGGGAAAAAAATGTAATTGGTTAACATGAGTTATTAAAATGATACATATTTACGAAATATACCTTAATACGCGCGGTTAAGGTATAGTATAATATAAAATATCCAAACATAAAAGAGAAAATGCATAATGTAAGATTTTGAAGTTTTCAAACAGTAATGTAAATTATTCCTTTCAATGATATTGTTAAGGAACTATGTAATGTAATAAGTATCATTTATAAATTTTCAAAAGAATGAATATGTTAATATAATATATATATAAATAATAATTGGAAAAAAAATTAATAATCATGTTTCAAAAACCTAAAATAAAAATAAAACAAATTTAGAATTTAAGAATATGTAACAAAATTTAAAATTATAAATTTTTAAATTTTTTTATAAATCAATTCATTAAAGAAAAATTTATTACATTTTATAAAATAAAACAATATAAACGTTTATATATTATCAAAGAACAATAATGTTTATAAGAATTTTTTTTATTACTGGGTCATAAAGTTTTATTTTACATTTTCTATTTTATGGCATACATTCTATATCATGTATGCCAATACACTTATAAAATAATGAAACAAAAGTAATGATGTAATAGTTGTTTATATGAATTACTTTATGTTTTGTATATTTTCAATGTAATTAAAAAAATTTTATTTGAAATGATACTTTTTTAAATAATATAAAATTTTAATTATTTTCTGTCACAATCGCAATGAACTATTTTATTAAATTAAATACTGCACTAATTATGTTTTATGATGTTGCTTATAACGTTTCATATTAATTTTAAATTTATTCAAAGTAAAATAACTTTGTAAGTATACTTATCATGATTTTATAAGGTTGATTAATTTATCATTTTTCCTTAGATAGGACAAAAAGAAATCTGTATACTAATAAACGATAAATAAACAAACCTAGATGTGTGTCTGAGTCGTTTTGTAGGATGCCTAGGCATATCCTCAGGCGCGCTTGGCGGCATTTCGGATGTAGAATGATTGTTTGTGCTTGAGGGCGCTCTTCGCTTAGTGCGAGGCATCCCTCTTTCTCCTAAACCTAATATTTGTTCGTATGCACTCTGTTGTTGTACGCCCTGAAGAGTGTACCTTCTACTTTGACTACCAAAGTGATCCACCTGAAATTCTTGTTGACTATGTCGAGAATTCTCCCAGGCAGCCTACAATCATAAAAAATGTATCAATAAACTGGACAAAAATCAATTTTTATTTTTTGTAATACTAAAGCTAAAATATTTTTAAGTGAATTTATTTTAAAATTATGTGTATATGTGTTAATTAACTCATAAATTAATAATTCCATTGTCTGATAAAATTATAATGATGAGTCTTAAAAAAATTTATTTAAATATTTATTGTATTATCTTGTAGTTATAAAATTAACTTTATCGAATAATTATAAATTACATTATTTATTTGAAATAGAATTCCATTTTTATTCTTAAATTACAAAATATATAAAAATAATCATAAATAAAGTTAATCTATAAATTATGAATTCTTGGCTTTCTCATATAAAATATGGTAACCCTACCAATGAAGCAACTGAAAGCCAATCTGGAAGTATTAAATGAAATCCATTTTTATTACACTTTTGTTTAAAACTGCTTCGAGTTCTGTAATTCATGTTATCTGAAAATTGTTTTGAGCTTAAATTGGTTACCGGAAAGCCAAAAAACCAGTGTTATAAATTTTGAAAACGTGGGATCGAGAAGGGAATTTAGAGCGTGAAGGTTTATTTTGACAGTTCTTGAGTTACTAAAACATATAAACATCATCACTAAGCAACAAAATTAACCTACAGAATTACTGTAACCTAGATAAATCATTATACATGTATACTATTCAAAATTTATAATGTAAATAGAACTTTACAAATTAATGGGATTATATTAAATATCGGTATAAATAAAATTTGCATATTCCCAATAAAAGTATAAATTATAAATTATACTTGTATAAAAATACAACCAAAAATATATGAATTGCTTAAAAATTATTAGTTTTCTAATTTATATCATTTGCATTTGAAATAATGAAACCCATTAAGATAAATAATAAGATATACATCACATTTAAAATATTCATAATTAATAAAACAATAAATCCAATTTTACTATCTCCTAGATAATTTTAATGCAACAGCATTAAAAATAAATGATTATTTATAATGATAATAATTATTTTCAATTTTTTTTTCAAATAAAAATAAAATTAAAAAATTTGATTTGCAACTGACGTATAAAAAATTTATTACAATAAAAATAAAATAAAATAGTAACCAGGTATATTTAAAATCAATTATAAAATATTTAATTTTATTCTAAATGCTTAACTTATTTATAATAAATCTTATGCCAATGAATACAATGTAATAATTAATATCTATTAATTCTTATATTTGGCTAACAAAAATAGAATATTGATTTTCTTACTGATGTAATAATCAATTATAATATTAATAGGAAATTGGATATTATTGTTATAAGTGATCCATATATAACTACAGTAAAAAAAACATACAAATAAAAAGGATAATAAAAACAAAAGAAAAAACAAAAACAAAAATAAAAAAATAGGCAAAATATAACACTGGATTTAGATGATAAATGAGCTAAATTGAATGAAGATAATTGGATATATAAGTATGAAAAATTAAATTCGTTGCACTTTTAAAAGTTTCGTATCAATAACTTATTAATCAAAGTAGTCCCAGTACTTCTTAGAGCAAACTTCAATATAGAGTTACTGTAAAGCTTACCAAAGAATCGAGATGATGGACACTACTGGACAAGTTGAAGGAGCTGAGCCTGTCCGTAATGTATCCAGTCTCGTAGCGACTCACCTGGTCCCGCTCGGCGACGTTCGACAGGATTGAGGTTAGGTTCATCAATACATAATGTGCGCACCTTCTCGTCTGAAAATCGTACGATCCGTAATTCTGCACCTCCTTAAGAGACAATCTCGGGCTGTTGGCAGAACCCAAAATGATCACCTCATTACCGCACTTGCATTTTTAGGACTACGCGTGTACATACAACGTATGTACACCAGACCAGTACTGTATAGAGCATAATGATAAAAAGGGCAAGGCCACACATGTATAGATGTAGTCACACACGCAAGTAACGTTGATCGCAACGAATCGATGATGATACTGATGATTGACGAAAACAAAAAAAAAGGAGGAAAGACTTGGTTTTTTCGTCGATTATGGATGTGAATTGCTTAAGCAGAGAATTATGATACGAGGGTTATAATTATATTTTTAAAGGGTGTGGTGTTGGCACATTCAGAATTTGCGAATATATAATTTCAAACTTTTAGTAAGAATTAGTAATAATGAATGAGAAGAATGAGTAATAAATTTTACAAATTGACAACCCTTAGCTCGAACTTTAAAATCCAATTGAATTAGAAGCTCCAAGGCTCAATTGCTACCCGAATAAGTTAAACACGTAGTGTAAAAAAATTGTTTGTACACGGTATTGAAAATTCATTAAAAGCGATAGTTTTAAAATTCGTACAAATAAACACTTTTGTACTTTTAACTTCATTTTAGCTCCGGAGCTCGATTTTTTATTCGATTTTTGGGGGGTAATTAGTTATATGAAAGCGACATTGCAGGCTTCCACTTGAGTTTCACATGATCAACTACCACCTATGTGGTAAAAATTTACATATGAATAGTATCATCGAAATTTAATACGAGGAGACATGCATTCAATAAAAAAAGTTTTTAATGAAAGACTAATTAATATTAATGTACATAATTAGAAGATATTGAGGAAATAGGGAAACGTATTTATCTTTGTTTTCCGTACTTCTTACCTAAATTCAATCCGACTCCAAACTATACAGAATAACAACGATGACCATCTAATTAAAAGTAATCTACTAATCAATGAATAATTTCAACAGGACACGATTTCAAATTTGTTCTCCCTTTTTTTTTTCTTTTTTTGAGGTTAATTGATCGTAAGGTAATTCATACACCGTTTACAAAAAATTCTTCGTAATTTATAATAAAAATACAATCACAATGGAATTAAATGCACAATTACGATTCACTTGTTAAAGAATGTAAAGGGTTTAAAATCACTTGTATTGCACACTACACAGCCGTTGCTACGACCTCCGACTTTCTGCCTATAACCCCCACTACCTTATTAAATGAAGAGCATTTTGCATCGCACTAAGTGACGCTGATGTTGATCCTGCACCGTCAAGGCTATCTTACCATTTTCTGAATATTTCGAAATTGCGTTTTACTTTTTCTTTTTAATATTTATAAGTCTTATTTTTTTTTCTTTGACGTTTATGGCCAATTTTGAAAAAAATTGGTTACATAAAAAATAAAAGAATGTGCTACTATAATCAAAAACTTAAATTTTTATTATCCAAATGTATAGTTTACATATACATTTACTAAATATTTTGTTTTAAATATTCCTTTGGATTTTTATCAGCATAGAGCACTGTTTTATCAAGAATATAGAACATTTTTTTTTTTGAGTTTGGAATATTGTTATTTTAAAAAGAACTTTGTATAATTTAAGCACTCTTACTAGATGGAACATTTTTAACACTTAAATTAAAAAGGTATATTTATACTTTAAAATTCTACTAATTACTTAAATAACATAATGGTGAGTGTTTTTTAATTTCAAATTAAATTAATTTATATTATTAGTGCAAAAAAACTAGAATGTAGACAATTTTTACATAGTATTTTTCATTTCTAAAATCTCCTTAGCCACATTACATCAACAAATGTGAAAAATATTTTAATAAAAATATAAAGATCGACTGATCATAACAAAATGGATATAGGTGTCATTAATACATAAAACTATTTTTAGTTAATTCTCTTAATGTATTTTCTATCAAATTCATATTTTATATTAATATTCTTACTTCTCAACGATATATTGTTCTCTCTGTATTGAGTTAACCTTAATTGTCGTTTTTGAAGCATTTCACATTAGATGTAAACTTTTAACTCAATTGAATGATGAACCAAATTTTTTAAATATACATATATATATATATATGACAAATTAATTTCAGTGATCCATGCATCTAAATATTGATAACACGTGATAATTTTTGCACTCTATTGAGCAGTAAATCACCCTGCTTAACCATAGCCTGATACTGCCAATTTTTACTGTCTGGTCTATTTGTTTCCACTACTCCACCTACCCTGTCAACTTTACAATGTAAACGACCTGCTGCAATAAAACGTGACAGTTCCCTTAAAAAAATTAAAGAAATATATTTTTAGTTGACTTGCAAATTTAAATTTGAGAATTATTCATATTTTGTTTAAATTCAAAGCAATCATAGAAAAGATCTTACTGATCGATATATTCAATTGTGACTCCAAAGGCTTCTGCCATATATTGGAGAGTCAATGACCTATATGATTCAAGAAGTTGAGTATAAGCTAGAATACGCATTTCCCTAACATAATATCGATAATGTGGAAATACAAGAAAATCTCGGCGCAGTAAACCTTCAACGTGTGCTACAAATAAAAAACATTCTATCAAAATTTATCTTTAATATATATCAATTTTTTATACGATAATTATTATCTTGGATATATAAAATAATATACTTACCAAGATTTTTAAAGAAATCCGCATAGTGACAATTATATAAAGAAAATAAATATTCTTTACAATCAGGATTGCTGTGTAGTGTTTCTAAAATTTCTGAACCTTTGATAATTTTATCACGTAATTCATTACGAGGTAAACTAATCATACTTAAATAAACGGTATATCGAACAAAAGTATTGTAATCCATAAGTTCATAACTTGTAAATGTACTGATGGTATCAAGGAAAAAGTTTGCAGCTTCTTTAAAATCACGAACAGCTATACAATAAGTTCCTTGATATACTTTTAATCGATTTCTCCTATCCCAATCCCCTCCTTCTTCTATTAATCTATAAAGTATAAATATAAAATTAGTATAGAATAGTTATGAAAACATAAAAAAAAATATAAATATAACAACGTTTCAGCTTTCTCAATATTTTTAGTAATAAGATCATGGTCCAAATAGAAAAGACCAATTCTAATATTATGAAAAACGATGTCCAGTCTATGACCAAGTGATACTGTCTTATCATATGTTTTCTTGAAAGCAGCCAATGCACCTTCTTTATCACCTATTCGACAAAGATGCTCAGACTTTTTCAAATTTGCTTCTCTAACTTCCATTTCGCCTAAATTTTTTTCAGCATCTTCGATAGTACTATCAAGTTCTTGTAATTGTTCTTCATTTTTTGTCTTCATCGTTGCTAAAAATACTTCATCGACTGGCCAACTTAAATCTCTACAAACTTCTTCATAAAATGGTGCCATATCTAAAACACATTCAATTATTTAAATAGATTTGTACTTAAATATTCACTTATTGTATTCAATTATTATAATAATGGTTTTAAAGAATTAAATAAAACAAAATTTGTGATTAAAAATCTTACATATTCTATAATATATTATTATATTATTATATTATTTTATATTATTATTCTATTATTAAATAACAAAATAAATATTAATGGCGAAATAAACCACAATAAGAGGTTAGGTCATTAAGAGTTAAATAGCATTGGAAAATTATAAAATCGTTCTTCGTAAATTTATTAAAATATAAAAAATAGACACGATTTTAAAAATGATTTGAAAATCACCAATGTTAGCACTTGTTTGTAATAATAAGAGTTTAAAAAAAAATGCAGTCTCACTTTCGGCTTTGATGGCATCAACTAGTTTCGTCTTAAGAGCAACATCATTCTTGTGTTCTGGTAAACTCAAAAGAAATTTTGTTTGTGCCAACTCCAAATTAGGGTTCTTTTCGAGACCTTCCTCTTCTAGATTTTCCAACGGCATTTTCTTCTTTCTGTAAACTATCTCGCCAATAAGACGTTGTAATATTGTAACACCGCGCGAGATCACACAGCAGCCCGCACTCTACGATTTTATGCCCTGAGAGAAGAAAAAAAAGCTATGCAACGGCTAGTGGCGCCAAACTAAAATACCAATATGAAAATGCTGATTATAAATGTTTACGCTGATATTTTACCATATTTGGCATAAAAGATTGATCTTTGACATTGAGTGTCAAAAATTTATAGTATTTTTTGTGAAGTAGAAATGATAATTAATGTGTTCAAAATCTGAGTGGACTAAAATGCTTATTTAAATATACAGTTGAAACGAAATGCTTTCGTAAATACTTTATTGTTAACATGACCTTAATTAAAAATTAAAATTAAAAATAGTGTTAAAAAATGGAGCTTATATTTAGAAACAAAAGAAGAGGCTGCTATAGCTTTATTAAAATTTTGTATTATCTTATTTTTTATTATTTCCAAGTAATTTTAAACCAATTTCCGACATATTGTTACACAAATGTCATTTAAAAATTAATACTAAAATCAGTTACTTATTTAATTTTAATTTATCATAAATGTTTACTAATTTTTCTAATTTATAATGATGCATTTTATTCATTTACCCGTAAATTAAATGAAAAATTGAATTAAAATATTTATTAAAAATATACATATTTTATACTGTTTTTAAAGATACCTAAATATCGTATTACTTAATATAATTATTCAGTCTGTGGAAAATCACATTTAAACTTTTATACTTCACAAATTTATACGTTTTTCGAGTAATAGAGAGAAAAAAGTAATATAATATTTATTTAATGTAAGGAGTTACTCAAATAGGGCATTTTCATTTATTTTATTTTTTATTTCAATTTTATTTTTAGCTATATTCTAATAATTTAATAAGAAATAAAAGTATTAATTCATAAATTAAAAAATTTACTAATGAAATTATGTAAGTTAATATTTATTTAAGGTAACATGAAAGAAAGTAAAAATAATAAAATTCATTTCTCTTTTCTTAATAAAAACCTCAATATTTTTTTATCACTTATTTTTAATAATAAATTTTATTCTAAAAATAATCTATACAATTTTTATATAAACATTCAATCAATAGAAAATTAAAAATGGAATTACTTTTAGTACTCCATTATGTTTCTTGGTATAAAAAATATGAAAATACAATTACTTTTAAATGAAATGTAATATTAGTATGTTTTAATATCATGATTATTTGTCAGGTTCGTTTTATTATTAATTCTAAATTTTTGCCTTAATTGATCATTAAAACCTTCTCTATTTCTTGCTAATTCAATAGCATAAAATTGTATCCTAGTTGTCAATATACTATTTTCTTCTAAATAATCATCATTACAATCAGATCTTAATAAAGTACCAAAACTGTAATCTTCTACAGAGTATTTAAATTGTTCACAAAAAGGTCTCCACTTTTGCTTGCCTGCTTCAGACTTTAATTCATCTTCGTTTATAAAATCCACTTTTATATCTGGAAAAAATTCTCTGAAAGTTTTGTATATTTTATCATCATGTGGTGTAAGTCTTAATAATTTAGGATCCACTGAGCATAAAATCTAAAAAAAAATATATTTCTTTACTTACAAAATTAATAAAACAAATATAAATTTCATCGTACATTAAAATATATTTCAGCATGTTCCACAGCTTTTACTACCCACATAGCTTCAATAGATTGCTGAAAATATTATAAACAAAAATCTATTTGTAAAACATAAATTTTTAAATTAATTTTAATTAAAGATTAAAATACAATAAATAAAAAAACTTACATCATTTTCAAAATTTTCTTCTCGCGTCAATGATCTATTTGATCTTGAAATAAGCTGATCATCTGTCTTAATGAAAAGGTTACTTGTTAATAAATTTCAATTATAAAAGTATTAAAACAACTTATTAATTACATGTGTAAAATGCTTCAATATTCAAAATTTGTATGTATTCATTTTTATACATATTAGGAATATTAAAAATAACTAATTATGTAAAACTAATATTTCTTTTAAATATGTAATTAATAATTATTATTTACGTGTATATTTTATAAATTAATAAATGATTCATGCAAACATGAACAAATTATTACTAGGAGGTTAAGATATTTATATCCAAAATATTTGCTTAAAATTTTTTTAATATATATTTATACTTTTGTTAATACTTACATTTTTTGCTTTATTCTTCATTTTTTCATTCATATTTTTTTTATTTCTTATTATTCTTACAGAATATTTAATACCATAATTTTTACGTTCAGGTAAAGTAAAGATAACTAAGCAAATATACGGAATGTGGCACCACCGTCATTGATAGTAACAGAAATATTTTAATCGAATCTGAAGCAAATATTGCAGACGTTGCTAATTTTTATGAAATAGCCTGCTAATTATTTTTACTAAATTCGAAAATTTAAAACAATCGAAGTTATTTTGTTTATAGTTTTTTTTATTATATTTTGTTTAATACATATATAAAAGAATTTTTTTCTTAATGATACGTATTAATTGATACGTTTAATTTACAAATTTGAATAATGAGACAAGAAAAATTATATGATAATTCAATAAAATGTAAAATAGATACACATAAAAATGAGAAGACATTTCCCAGGTACCGTTTTTTTAAAAAACTTGTACCGATTGTGGTTATAACTTTTGCAATTATGCTTGGCATTTGCGGCTATATGGAAGTACGTGTGAAGACTCCGTTTAGCAAAGATAAACTTGTTGATATAAGTCGCTTGAATAAAAATCATTATTATTGGGGTTCCTATAGACCGGGTGTTTATTTTGGAATGAAAACAAAAGAACCATTTTCACCTGTAACTGGATTAATGTGGTATTTTCAAAGTACGTTGCAAACAGGTGGCAAAGGATTAAGACATTGGTGCACACAGGATGATAAATTAGAAAAATATGGTTGGACTAAACATGATGGAAAAAATTTTGGTATTCAAGAAATAGTTGACAATAAAGTTTTATTAAAAACTTCATTTATTAAATATAATCATGGACATAACGGTGGAGATTGGACTGCTAAAATTAATGTTTCACATATAGAACCAAATCTTAGAAATAAAAAGATATCACTTTTATATTATATTGCGATTGAAAATAAAACAGATGGTAATATAAAACCATTAATTGATTATTTAAGCAATTCATTAGTAGGAATTGAAGGGCAAACCAAAGAATTAGGATATTTTGATTTGAGTTTTAATGTAGTCAGTGAAAATGTAGTAGATCAATCTTACTTAGTAACAACTACCCCCGATTTAAGTTATATAACAAAATCAGTTTTAATAAACTTTCAGGTTGCAATTGATAAAGAAAAAAGGAAAAAGAAGATTGTATTACCTAGTGAAACATTAAAAACTAATAACAAACAAATATCGACACCTAATTTGATAGTATTACAAGTAACAGGTGAATTACCTTTAGAATTAGAAGTTATATTTGAACATCATAATTTAGAAAATCAAAATAAAAAACTTACTGGAGAAAATTATAATAAAAATTTGAATAAATATGAAAAACTTTTTGATGTCAAATTTGAAGAAATTTTTAACTTAAATTCAAAAGGATATACACAAGATGAAATTAATTTTGCAAAATTAGCTTTTTCTAATATGATTGGATCTATTGGATATTTTTATGGTTCATCCCAAGTACAAAGTATTTTGAATGGAGCTCCTATATCATACTGGAAAGCACCTTTATACAGTGCTGTACCAAGTCGAAGCTTCTTTCCCAGGGGTTTTTTATGGGATGAAGGTTTCCATGGTTTACTTCTATCAAATTGGAATTTAGATATAGAAATGGATATTATTAGTCATTGGTTTGACCTAATGAATATCAATGGCTGGATACCAAGAGAAATGATTTTAGGTGAAGAAGCATTAGCAAAAGTTCCTCAAGAATTTGTTACTCAAGATGAAAGTAATGCTAATCCACCAACATTTTTCATAACTTTGCAATATATATTGGATCATAAACGTGATGAGTTGTTATCAAATCACATGGATTTACTTAAGAAATTATACCCCAGATTAAATCAATGGTTTCAATGGTTTAATTTAACACAAATCGGTGAAATTCCTGGTACTTATAGATGGAGAGGCAGAAAATATGAGACAAATATTGAATTGAATCCTAAAACGTTAACGTCTGGATTAGATGATTATCCAAGAGCATCGCATCCAAGTATTGATGAACGTCACATTGATTTACGTTGTTGGATAGCTCTAGCTTCTAAAACAATGGCTATTATATCTGAAATTTTACATAAACCATCGCACGAATATAAAAGTACTTTTAAATATTTATCAAATAACAACTTGTTAAATAAATTACATTGGTCCCCAAAAACTAATACCTATGCTGATTATGGTCTCCATACTGATAAAGTGAAACTGCAGAAATTATCTCAAACTTCTAAGCAAATAAAGTCCACAGAGAAAGTAAGGGTAGTACTTGAAGAACCAAAAAATCAATTTGTAGATTCTTCATTTGGATATATTTCTCTCTTTCCTTTTCTTTTACGTTTGATAGATCCTAGTTCATACCAACTCAAAAAAATTTTGGAAGATCTTCAAAAACCTGAGCTTCTTTGGACAAAATATGGTTTAAGATCTCTTGCTAAGATATCTCCAATGTACATGAAATTTAATACAGAACATGATCCACCATATTGGAGAGGACCGATTTGGATTAATTTAAACTATATGACTGTAGCTGCTTTACATCATTATGCCAAAGTAGATGGCTTATACAAAGCAGAAGCAGAGAAAATATATTTTAAATTAAGAGATAATATAATAAAAAATGTTATACATCAATATAAAAAAACTGGATATATTTGGGAAAATTATGAAGATAATTTAGGTGAAGGAAAGGGTAGTCATCCATTTACTGGTTGGACTTCTTTAACAGTTCTATTAATGGCTGAATTATATTAATAGTTTTGTCATTTCCTAATTAAACTGAACAGATTTAACATTAAGTTGTAAATATGAATTTTTTTAAAATAAAGTTCGTTATTTTACACATTTCATTATATGACAATTTCTGTAAATATTTATTAGTATGAAGTAATAAATTTATAATTTATAATGAAGCTGTAACAAAGCGTAAGTACACATTTGAATACTCTATTGTTATTTCTATTACAAATTATAGAGTATAAATTTCAATTTCTAATACCATTACTAACTGAAGTATTATGTGTTTTAAATATATTTATTTAAATTTCTCAAATAATATGCTATGTATCATCATATTATCTTATTATAAGAATCATTGTGTTATTAAGAATATTTTTTGTAATCTTCATAAACTGGATATTTTAAATTTGCATGAGTAGTCGATGATTGATCTTTATTACTTTTAGAATCAGATAAATAATTAGAAAAAGTAGCGTTTAGTTTAGCAGCATTTTTTCGTTTAGTTAAAATCATCTGGTATCCATCATTAACCTAATAACCAAATGAATATATATTCAATTATTTCACACATGAATATTATTGACAATATAGTGGATAACATTTATATAAGAAACGTATGTAATCTTACATATTTTAGTCACAATATTCAATACACAATTTATTTCATCAAATCTATGAATAAATTTTTTTCGATTAATCTAAGTTTGAATACATTTATTTATACAAAATTAGGCTTAAGTGTAGATTAAATATAAATAATAATAAATTTAATTTTAACAATAGTAAATAGTGGACATATTTTAAACTAATAATTAATAATTATCTATACTAAAAATACCTTAATAAAAGAAATAATTTTAATTTAAAGTTTATACAGATAAATTCAATTTATTATACTGAAGTAATTGAAACAATGTTTAAAATTGATATAAAATATTTGTTACTTCTTTTTCGGTTGGTGGTATTTTTCTGCGATATCGTAACCAAGCTTCCCATTCGGCAGGTAACTCTTGTTCAAAATCTGTTTTATTCAAGGGTGTAAAATATCTTCTAATTTTTTTCATTGTAGATTTTGAATTAATAGTTTCATAATACTTGGTACCAAAATGATCCGTTCCAACACATGTAGTTTTTGGAAAGTTTGGTTTTATATATTCAATGAATTCATAAAACATCATACGAAATAAACCTTTTTCTTTTCTTACCATTTTGTTATAAAAATTATTCCTTATTATCTAAAACAATCGATAGCTATTTCTTAAACCATACAATAAAACATTAATATATATTATATAAAGTTTTAAAGTAATTAAATTATAATTAATGTATGATCAAATGCTTGAAGGATATTTTATATTTAAAATCAATTAAAAATGAAAAAAGAAAGATATTAAATAATAAAATACTATTACATTTACTTATTAGACATTATATTAGTTAATTATTTATAATTATTATATAATTATATATTATTATATAATTATTTAACAAATTGTATCATTTATTAACATGTATTATGAAGTACAAAGAAAGTGTAATATAGACAAATATATTTACATAATTAAAGTTATGAAATTAATTATTTGTACCTATGCATAAAAGTAATGTTAAACAATAGTTAAATTTTACAATTTATTAATTTTATAAATAAAATAGTCATATATAGATTGTAATGAAAAATATGTACGAACAATTGTTAATTGCAATTCAAGGTAAATAAATAAAAATAAATAATACTATTTATATATCTATTTTCAATACTATTTTATATTTTTAAATACATTTTGATCGTAAATTGGATTTATTTAATTTAAAAAAAAATATATGCAATCATTTTATGTATTTCATAATCCTTTAAATTTTATATAATTATTGACAGAAGAAAACAAATACAATACTTGACAATAAAGTATATATGAAAACATTTTTTACCGATTGTAATGCAATTATATTACTAAACTCTAGATAACAGGAACAAAGACCACAGTTAGTACGTTTTTTTATGTATAAGAGGTTAAAGAAATTAAGATCTCAATTTATTGACGAAGTATTCGGTAGGGGTTTTATTTATGTTTCATCAGACCTGTTTTATTTTATTTATATTTTATTATAATATAAAAAACAATTATTCAAATACATTTAATCACAAAGACAGATGTTAAGAATGTTAATATTAAAATTGAAATATATATATATATATATATATATATATATATAAATGATAAGATGAAACTATTAATATATTATTATTTAATTAAAAAAAATGTATAAAATAAATATTTTTTAAATATCATTATAAATATAAAGTTTAAGATAATAGATCGTATCAAGTTCATTATTGTTTGTAAATAAAAATATATAATTTTTTCTTTGCTAATATCGTTACTCGTTTGAAAATCCTGTAAAACATCAGATTGAAATTGTGCATATTCAAAAAAACTAATTGGATTAAACTCTGCATTTGGGTCTCGGACAAATAGACGCAATTTTAGCTACTGATAAGTGCAGGAAAAATAAAGTTTTTCATCTTTGTCAGTGGCAACAAGACTACTAATTGTATAGTTACGCACAGAGTACCGTTACAGAGCACCATGAGATATACATATTCTGTTTATATTTAGAAAAATATTTATTTAAGTTTCTTTTTTTTTATTTAGTTTTTTTTTGCTTATAACTGATTACTGTTACTGATTACTGTTGTTTAAAAGTTAAATAGATAATGTCGACATAAGTAAATGGCATCGGAAACGATTTCTTTATTCTGAAACTCCAACTTTATGCTGTTGTTATTTTAAATTGTAATTATTAATTTACATGTGGTATACGACACGTTTTTCGAACAATATTTTTATAACGTTATATAAACCACAAATCTTGTATTTTAACGAGTAGAATAATTTATTAAGAATATTGATTAATCAACTGGAAAATACCTCAGAACACCATTGACTACTGTGTTCAACGCACATATATGTATGTGTTTGCCAAATTGTAAATTAATTTCTTGCTTTGTTCAATTGGAATATTGTATTTCTTTTTTACCTTTGGCTATATGTATTTATATCGATGACCTTGATTCGATTGATAATGATAGTGATAATTTCGAGCAAAGAATAAAACCATGAACTGAATTAATTTTCTCAGACAAGTCCATGAAAAATATTTTTATATATAATTATAATTTACTCTTATATTCTATTATAATTGTGATAGTTTCATTAATAATTAAATTAATTTGTTAAAATTAATGGGAACCATTTCTTAATTTTCAACTTGTAATAGTAATGATAGATTTATCGGGTTTAAGATGTTTGATTGTTATCTTAGAAACTGTCATGAGTTCTCAATTTCTACTAATCCATAATCTTAATGTATTTCAGAAAGAAAAAATAAATGTTTCTAGTGCTTACAATACTCACTCATTCACCATAAGCTATTACAATGTTTACGATACTTCATAATCTAAATGCTAGCATAATTATACTTTTTATTCATATTCAATATTTTACATAAAATAAAACATTCTTAACATGCTTTTATAAGTATACACACGTGTAAAAATAAAAAAGGGAACATTGCATTAATTATTAAATTATGGAGAAAGGAATATTTTTAACTAAAATTTTTAACTAATATTCATATTGTGAAAATATATTTGAATATATTACAATTATCTTACTTAATCTCATACCACATTTTTCTATTTTCCTTTAATATTTTCTTTGAAAACGATATTTCAATTTTATAGACAATTAATTTGCTGCTTCGCGAATGATTATTTTAAGAAACAAAATTTTAAAGAATTTTTAAATTACAAAATTTGGTTTAATTACGATTTAAATTTTCACAGGATTAATAACAAATATACATAATAATATGCAATGAAAATACTCAAAATCATTACAATGTATTAAAGGTATTAAAAATTTTATTAATCATAAATTATATTATTCGTTAAGTATTGAAACGTTTATTTATACGCACAAATATTTTATACGTTTAAATATTGTCTTTTAAGAAAAAATTCATTCTTGAAAATGGAATCCATTAAAATTTAAAAAAAAAAATTGAAACTTTTTAGTAATAACAAGATAATATTTCAATATTGTAACCACATAATGCAATATAAGAATTATACATTAAATTAAGTATATAATTTGATAAATTTTATATATCATATAAAATATAGTTTTTGTAGAGTATAAAATTTTTTAATTTGTGAGTTCGATATGTTTTGAAAAGTAACATAAAAATCAAACTCACAGATTAATTTTAATCGAGCGAGAATCTAAAAAGCATTCATGAATCTTGAATCCCATTGCTTACATTAATTGTATTTAATTGTATGATATTGTAATTTACCTTAATTGTAAATAAATCAATTTTTGTATTTATATTTTAATTAAAATCTAATTTTCAATTTAAGTTACAAGATTAATGTCAAATCAATAATTGCATAAAAGAAAATAGTATAAAATACAAAGATTAATTTACTTCACTTGAATTATGATACAATTTGTCAAGATACTTATATACCAATTAATATTAATAGTTAAATAAAAGAGTAAGGACAATTATTATTAATAGTGCAAGTCTGAGTAGAAATATCGGCGTGATTAGAAAAGGAACATAGAAGATCGTGTTACAGAGATCGCGCAGAGTGCAAATCCGTAATATCCCACATACGACATTTTAGAAGCAGAAAATCTTACACTGTAGCACGAAGAAAATGAGGCTTTTCCCTTTTTACGCTGCATAACTACATAAACCACGAAAGAAAATGGTGAATGATGGAAATACACAATTTATAAGGAAAAATGCAATTATAATAAGTAGAGCACCACACGTGTTTCAATCTGAACTGAAAGAAATAAAAATAATGTTATTTTGTATTTTTTGTATATTGAAGTATACGGAGATAAACTTCAAAACATATCCTTACATAAATTATGATAAATATAAAAAAATGCGATAGAATATATAAATTTGTAAATATATACATGAAGAATATACGATTGTGTAACTGAGTGGTATAAAACTGAATATTTCTCGAAAAAGAAAATCATACAACATATGGAAGCATGAATTTAAGTTTTGTAAATAAGAAAATGAAAAAAATCACAATTTGCCGATAATGAAAACACATGTAGTGTGTTTTTATCGTACATGGCATTGAGTTTGTAGAAGGACACAAGGATGTACCACATATACTTTTAATAATCGAAGCGTTGAAAAGTTTGTTTTTGTACAATAAAATATACAGAAATTTTTGTAAATGGAGCCCTCGAAAGGGTTGGAGTGAAGAAAAATGTCAAAATTAAAAGTATAGACAAATGTTGCAGATATTAACGTTCCTTCGTCTCTATTAAAGTTTAATAAGGTAAAGCACGATGGACATAACTAACGTAGAATTATTTTGAGAAGGAGAAAACCAACGAAACGTCCTAACCTAGTACAATTCATTATTATTGCGTATGCGCTATATACAAATATGTACGCATATGCATAAACACGAAGGTGTGTTTACGCGTTAGAATGCGTTTTTGTATAAGTGCATATCTCTATAAGTAAGCTATATGCTCGGATATGGAGAGAAAGAGAGAGGGAAGCAGGGAGAGAGCGTGTGATCAAGAGTGACGGAGTAAGCTGTTAAACTTCAGGAGGAGGGAGTAGAACGAGAACTATTTGGTACACACGGGTATGCGGTATGAGTGTGGTGTGTGGTGTGCTGTGGTTGAAAATGGCCGTCGAGCAGTGCACGGCATCGTTGAGTTGCTGTCTTTGAGCTACCGTAAGCAGCCGCTGCTCTGATTTTGAACTAATGCCACTGAAATAGAGCCTTAGTGTTGTCGTCGAGAACTTTGAGAACTCGTATATACGTGCGTGGTAGTGGGATTATCGGGATTATCAATCCGTAGGCTCAAGTCATACGTGTGCATGAGTAGTGCGTGCTATTTGGCGATTGTATGGACAAGCCTAGTATCGTCTTGTGTTTTACCTAACCTCAAAATCTCCTGGTAGAGTGCGAAATGAACAAAACACAAAACGTACTTAAATATATGTATGCATATAGTGTCTTGTGAAAATTTTAAAATATTTCGGAGCTACGAATCTCAAAAGAAATGTACGAGAATCGCTCTTATACAAGCTTGTACGTATACACGGTGTTTTCCTCTATCTTTTATCATCGACGTTGGGAGGAAGTGAGACTTGGCATATAATAAAATTACCTCCTAAATATATAGTGGTTTTTCTTAGAGAAATAATACGAGAACGAGGGAGAGACAGAGAGAAAGAGAGAGAGAGAGAGAGAGAGTGAGAACGAGAGAGGAGGAGAGAAAGGGAGAGAGAGAGAGAGAGAGAGAGAGAGAGAGAGAGAGAGAGAGAGAGAGAGAGAGAGAAAGAGTGAAAGAAAGGAGATAGAGAAAGAAGAAAAGAGAAGAGAGAAAAATCGAGCAGGTGAGTTTTGGTGTATATTTTACTTCACAGCATCTCGGTTGTTACCCTTGCTATTCTCGTTGGCCCCTTTCACCAAACAACCGTAGATGACCATATTCAATCATTTATCTTATAGTCTTATTCGCCTTTAAGTGACGCGTATACGCTGATTCTGAAACTCTAACCGTTAGATACTTTGACAGGCAGTGTATTGTTGACTATAACGTTTTTTGCTGTTTTTTTGACTGTTGATTTACACGTTTCAAATGTAATATTTCGCAGTGTATGCATTTAGGTGCAAGCATACTTCATTATTTGTTAATCAGTCGTTTAATGGTAATTATTATTTCATTATGTAAGAGATATAGCGTGCGTATACAATATTTTAATTCTGCAGCAATTTTTTGAATCTGTTCTCTCTCTCTCTCTCTCTCTCTCTCTTTCTCTCTCTCTTTCTCTATCACTTTTACACATATATAGTCCTAACCCTCAAACTATTTCACTGTAAGTAAATGCAGAGATGGAGAAAGATATACACGCGCGCGCATATATCTGGCTATGTGTGTGCAGACGTAACGTAATCACGCAAATTCACATGACTTTCTTCTCGTAGTATAACGATGCTGTCACATTAATACATTAACAATAAGAAAAAAACGAAAAGAGAGATGTGCACCTGTCTGTTGTAGTTCCTTACGTATTCATTGAACATAAGCGACAGTGAGAGAGAGATAGAGAGAGAGAGAGAGTTGTATGTTGAGAAAAGAGGGTCATTCGTGTGAGGACGGATTTGTAAATTCTATCTGTAGTGAATACCTCTATGGAAACGATAGGTAGACGAGGTTTCATGTTGATTTTACCCATATTTATGAAATTTATTTCTAATTCTTTATAATTGAAATCTTACACGAGTGAATTTAACAAAAAAGGTATAATGTATTTTACGATCTATAAAGCTAGTTGTACTTTCATCACATTAATTTGTAAAAGTAAAATAAAATATACAAACACATTTTTTAACAGCAAAATTATTATTTATTAAATATTATATAATATATAATATAAAACTAAATATTAATTATTTATTACATTTTTATTTTGATATATTAATTGTTTTTTCTTATAATTACATCCAGAAAATTTATAATTTTATTTATTTTTGTTTTTTATTTTGTTTTGTTTTATTTCGTTAAGACTTACATATTGTTATTGTTAATAGAATAATTTTTATTGTTATAAATTTACATGTTTCTCTAATATTTAAAATGTTTATGTTTATACATTGAGTTGGTATTTTTTGATATTTTTAATTACTGGTTATACTACATAACCTTTATTTTAAATAATTAAAAAATAATTTATAAATTTAATTAATGTGCTTTCATGAATTCATTTAAAATTCAAATTCAATTCATTCTAATAAAAATAATATATATGAAAATACAGTAGGAAATTATTTTTGTGTGATAAAATATATGGTTATTTTTATTTATAACTATAAATTTTATTTTCTTTACGTCTTAGTAAATAAATCCTAGAAATGCGTCTATAAAAGTATATGTAAATCAGAGAAACTTATTGAGTTTGTAAATTGTTGTAAATTTAAGTTCTACTAATTATGAAAATCTAATTGTTAAATTACTAAAGTTAAATCGCATTATTGCTAGTTTCAAGCGATTTTATTATCCAGATTGTCTATCTTCATGAGTGGCCTTTATTACACCTTCTTCGAGAATTAAGATAATTGTAACATTCAACATTTTTGTAATACGTATATTTTTTATTTTAAAATATACAGTAACAATTTTAATAAGTCGTAAGTTTATTATTTGTAATATATATTTTATAATGCAAATCCTCTTTTAGCGATTCAACCAAATAATAATAAATTTTATTTAATATCTTTAAATAAATTTTGTACCTAATTTACAGTTCAGATAGATAAATATACATTATTAAAAAATAAATCTTAAAAAATTTTTTTTCAGTACCAGATGCGAAGTTTGAATATATTAATATGTGAGTGTACCAAATGTAACTAATTGGCTTATTATTACTTTACAAATTTATTAATCCGTACTTTTTAACAAAACCTGTAATAATTTATTATATGGAAAAATTGAGGCATGTATAAATATAAATTTTAATATGGTTTTAATTATAGCATACTCGTTTTATAGTGTTATGTATAAGATTTAAAAAATTATTTATATATTATCGACAGAAAATTTTTCAAAGAAATTCTTTACAATTAAACATACGAAAATTATGTTGAAAAAACGTAATATATTATTAATTTGTGAAAAAGAAAACAGTAGCAAGCTTTTTATTTAATACAATTATTGTTTGTAATAACAATTATTATTCTTATAATTTTATCTATCATTATAATATGTCACTAATACCGAGAGAAGGGTAGCTCGTAATTTCAGATACATATTTAGACGTCTACATAAAATAAATGATATTCTATCATAAACGAAATTCAAGTTGTTTAATTGTTTTTTCACATATTGTATGAAGCTTCGGAATGATTAATATTTGTATAATGTACAATATATGATATTACAGTATGAGTCGATGTGTATTACATATGTTTAATTAATTTTTACCGCTAGATTTGGAAATATAGATAGTAAAATTTTATATATTTTATATATTTTATACAGTATCTGAGATTAAGAAAAACAATAATAATAATTTTGTATCCTATTTTATGATATTGTAATATATATTTTCTTATTTTGTACGAAGGGTGTATATTGTTTAAATTTATTTTTTATGTTTAAAATTTATTATCTTGATAGTTATAATTTCAAGAATATTTCAATAATTATAACAAATGAATAGTATACTGGTATAATAGTATAATGGTCACATTGTTTATTTTAACATAAATTTATCCATCAAATAAATATACGATATATTGTAATATCAACATATTTTTCAGTCTTCAAAGATTTGATTAATTGATACGGAATGAAAAATAATTTTACGATGACATTCATCTGTCGAAGATGGAATATTTTGTGCAGGAATTCGCGCTCGTTTTCGTCGATTATAGAAGCTACCACTCGCATGCGAAGGGAAGAGCATATCTATCGATGTCGCATAGCGGTATAACCCAAAGAAAACTAACGGAAAATCCGTAGAATAACTTCTTAGCGGCATGACACCGTGACCAATGAAGGAAATAGAAACTTTACCTTATTGTACATTGCCTCTGAGATTTCACGTATTTAAAGGGCGTATTCTAGTAGTTTCATATATTTTTCCTACAATCTCACAAAAATATCTGCAAACTAAGGATAGCCGAGTGAAAATACATTTACCATCAAAAGTGTTGCAAATATTTTTTTTTAATGTTATCGTGCGCAGATCATTATTTTTATTTTAACTTACTTCAGTATTTAAAATTTTTTTTATTCATTGCTGATGTATTGATTGTTAATACTATTTAAAACGATTATTAAACTTATATGTAAAGAATTTCATATGAATTAGTGGAATTCCGATATACATTCAATGACATAGTTAACCGATACGACATTTATCAAATTCTGAAAGTCAAGGAGTATCATTTTACATTGGTACCCTTTTACATTTGTAGTAATCAGGATAATTGGAAGTTAATATTCGAAAAAGAATATATATTTAGATATAAATTCAAATTACGAACATTTATTTATATATTCAATTTTACATTAATAAAATTGACATTTGTATTATTTCACTTCATCTCTCATATTTTTGACTTTTAAGTCTATGACACAATTTTTTTTTTTAATTGTAAAGAATTTTTAAGTAAATTACTTTCTTAAATAATAAATTTAGCTATAAATAAATTATAGCTTACAATTCGAAAAAAAGACCGAAAATATGCATAAATCTAAAGATTCTTTTAAAAAAATAGGATTTTATAAGCCTTGCATTATCAAAGAATAGTTCTACCAATATAATAAATACGTATAAATATAAAATACAGAAACAAATAATTGAGTCGATATTTTTGTCGATTAATTGAATTACTAGACATGATTCGTTCTATTCCCTTACAATATAAATTTATGATCGATTAGTGCTAAGATAAAGAATTTAATTAATCAGTCAGTCAAAAAATTAAACACAATTCTAATTAACAATTTATTTGGATGAATACATTTTTATAGTCATTAATATTTTTTAAGTACATTTAATCAAATGTTTTAATAATTTTTTAGAATAAAATTATGAGACATTTTAATTTGAAATATCTTATTGCATTCTGTTTCTATTATAACTGTACACTTAACTTAGATAGTAAATGAACTTTAAATGTCTTGATAATGATGATTTTTATATTAAAAATTATAAATATAATTTGAATACATCAATAATAAACAATATTACAAGATGTTATATCTGTCGTTAGACTACGAAAGTTACTTAATTCAATTAGCACCTGCTCATCAATTTATTGAAATGTTTATATAATATATTTGATAATATGTAAAAGTTATTAAATATTTGAAATAATAATAATTGTATTTTGTAGTAGGTATTCGAATGTTAATGAAATTAGAGTAAAAAAAAAATAAATTATATTTCTGTATTGAAAATATTTATATTAATTAATAAAAAGTGTTTTAACATTGTCCAATCCTTATAACAGATATATTTTAGAATCTTATCTTGTAAAAACTGCTATATCTACGATTAATTAATAAATATTATTTTTTGAAAATATTATATTTTGATTATACATTTTCTTTAATTAAATTTGTTTTCATTTTATAACGATTTTAAATTGAAAAAAATACTATCGAACTTCATTTTAATATAAAAATATCTTAAAACATCCATTAATAAAATATACGACATATCAATAATTTTATGGAATATAATTATAATTCACTACGTTTTTAATTCAACTAATAGCACTTTGAAACAATTTTAAAGTAGCTATGGGAATTGAAATTAATCAATGAAATATTAAACTTCATTGAACCGATTCTGAAAAAAATAAGTAGCTAATATTCTAA